AGTACGATTTTTTCCACCGAAACATTGGTGAAGTTACTCCTCTTTCTTATGATCGAGTAGATCACGAAGATTCATCGATAATAATGGAATATTTATCTAAAGGTTGATAACTAATTGCCAATACATCAAGTAATTAGCCCAGAATATAACATTTCAATGCACAAATACTTCAAACGCTGGACTAACGGCGATCGTATGTCACTAGTTCTTTGAAAATGGAGACAATGAATCAAATTTCATTGACATAAATCCCACCACAGAACATTGAACGACCGAAAGACGATGCAGTCTGCCCGCCGGGTAGGACTACTCCAAATTGGAGTGGTCGGCTACTTTTATGTAATCCACGAGAACGCGACTGGAAATCCAGTTTTTAATATGCTAATGACCATTTGAAATCGTTACAAGTCATAAGTTTGACACAGGTCAAAGTAGACCGATTTGTGCAAAAAAGTCTTTCGGACACAGCGCGCTGTGTGTTACCTTCTGGAATTATCAGTACCCTGGATTTCTCACAAGCATACTATGAGAAGCGTTTCTCACGAGTATCTCCACGTCATTGTTATAACAGGTAGGTATTAATCGACGGAATCGGTCTTTAGGATGTTATTAATTTAGTGACGATGACATTTTTAACACTCTGTCGAGATTTGGGAGATGTTTAGCGCGATCTCGTGACACACGTACAAACAGCTACATCTATAACTCGCAGCGAAACAGTGAGACGAAATTAAGGACCCATTTAATAAATTTAAATGTTAAGCACGTTCAAAGGCACTAAAACTATCGTATATCAACTGCAGTTTTTTATAGGATCGATCGGACTTAAAACACGAGGTTTTTCAATAGACAATTGTTACTTTTCGTTTATGCAAACGAAGACTTTAATGATACGTCAATAATTGGTAGGTCATCAAACTTTCGGGTGTAGGGCGCGAAGAGTGGGTTGATACTGAACTCTGAAAGTCGTGCAACAAGACACCGATACTAGAAATATGCAAATACCGACTCTGGCCTCTCAGGTGCAGACCCTAATTCGTTAGAACTACAGTACGACACTGCGTTAATCGAAGTTGAATTAAAGTAATGTTAATGCTCGCGTTGTGTTTATGGTAATAAGCGACTACGGTGAACGTTATCGCGACATTCGTGTCTAGGACTTTTTATTGTCACGGCACAATCTAAATATTTTTATGCATACTGTTTTAAATTTAAATTAATATGTATTACGTGTCCGACCTATTCACCTAAATTTGAACAATTCCACGTATTAGCCGCGCATTTCCAATAATAATATTTTGACAACACAAATATTAGAAAAAGTATTATAGGTATACCAAATTTGTTGCAAACACCAATAATTGCAAAATTCGCTTCGGGGTGGGTTTAAACCCGTGGCGATATTCATTAATTGAAAATAACTAACCGAGCAGTGGAGTTCTTCGTTTCCTCGTCCACGTGAAACGCGAGTGCGCACAGTGTAACGCGGCGTATGGTCCGCGCGGTTCGCGAACGCAGACTGAAGTGAGCGTGCAGTCGGGAGTGTCCCGAGAGACGCGTTTTTCGAAATCAGTGCGTTCCCGCTTCGCTTAAGGGAGCTCGGAGTTCCGCGTTGTGAGATTTGAGAAAACCGGTTCGACGCACGTGATGGCGACGGGTTCGTGTTTGTTTGTTTACTTTTCTCGTGTGCGATCGCTCTACGGCTACCGAGCTGAATTGTTTGCCGTAATTGGATTATGATCCATATACAAATGGCTTAAGGCGGTCTCCAGTGCCTTCATTGAGCAGAAAAACTCTTTTAGTTTTCTCATAAGGCAACTGAGCTGAAAAATGCTCGTCATTTCTTTTTTTTTTCGAAATAACTTTTCATTTAGAGGCTATAGGCCTCTATAATTATTAAAAGATTTTCCCAAAGTGGTAAGTATGACGTGGATATTTAGTGTTGCCCAAATTCAGTCTTGGTCTTGCAGTCTTGGTCTTGTTCTTGCGTTTTTGCAAGACCAAGACCAAGAACAAGACCGCGTATTTTTAGCAAGACCAAGACCAAGACTGACCGTGCAAGACTTGAGCAAGAACAAGACATAGCCTGCAAGACTCTTGCGTCTTGCAGCTAGGACTTAGCGCTATTTCACTGAGTAGTTAGAAGTAACAGTTCGGTGTATAGGTAGGTACGCTTAGGAATTCTATGAGACGCAAAAAACTGTATCAAAGAATATGAAAAACTGGACCTATGCGCATTACGACTAATACCATAAACATAGCGAATAAAAAAATTATTAAAATCAAACTGAGTGCATGCATAGTTATGTTTTAACCATCGGGACTTTGATAATGCGGCATCAAAAGTTTTGTACTTACTTCTCAAAGAAATTTGCCGCTTTTCGGAAGTACATGGTTATGATACACGCGCCGGCGGCTTCTTTTGAAATCTAAAACAATCGTTGCCGCCACGCCGAAATCATAACATTTGACACTATTTGATTGCCGCCATAGGGCGTAGGTATACTCATGCAAAATAATTTCGAATTTTTTTACACGCTTTATATTATTGTTAACATAGAAATAGGTTAAGTGATGAGTCAGCCAGATGGTTACTTTGTATTAATTCTTGGTCAAAAAAATTGATATAAAGTATCATAACCTAATGATAAAGCTGTTGATTTGTGTTGTATTTTATTTTTTATTCAAATAAATGATAAATCGTAAAACTAAATACTGTCTATAGTTTACGAGAGTAATACACATTTAAATAAAACACTTTAACGGTTTAAAACGCGATATATTAGTTAAACTTATTTGAAAATGATTTTTAACTTCGGCCCGACGTTTCGGATGCTTTGCAGCAGCCGTGGACACGAAACGTCGGGCCGAAGTTAAAAATCATTTTCAAATAAATTTAACTAATATATCGCGTTTTAAACCGTTAAAGTGTTTTATTTAAATCGTAAAACTCTTTTATTAAATTTCTTATAAGTTGAGGGTTCAATCTCTTTTTTAGACAGATAAGTATTGTTCTTTAAAATACAGTCAAGTTATTGTAATTAATTTGTTTTTTTACATGTTTTAGCAAATGTAAGCTTATAAATCATAAATGTTTATTAAGAAACAGTTACTTCCATGGAAAACGACATATAGGTCAGTTGATTTTTCGAATTGAAATTTCGATTGTTCCAATTCTAATACGTTTTTCTAGGATTTAAAGTAAACTTTAATAAATAGTAATAGACTAATAGGTAATTGCAAGACTTGCAAGACTTGCAAGACTCTTGCTGCAAGACCAAGACCAAGACCAAGACTGGGAGCGCAAGACCAAGACCAAGACCAAGACCAGGTGTATTGGCGCAAGACCAAGACCAAGACTGGCTAAGTCTCGTCTTGTTCTTGCGTTTGGGCAACACTATGGATATTGCATTAGGTTATCGTAAATATTTGTTTCGACGACAAACTGGAAAATGAAATAGGAATTGATTAAAAGAAAATGTTTTGCATTTAAATTTAAATATATTATAAGTATTTAATTTCGTTAATGCTACATACATTATACATTATAATATTAAAGTGTTTAAAGCTCAACGATACTGCGATTAAGACAGGCGACAAAAAATTAATGATTGCCTTCGAAAAGGAAATTGTTGGTAGTTTAACTTTGCGTGAAACCAGAATTACGAAACGGTCATACGATGTGACGTAGTCTTAGATACGCATCTTAAAACATCGACATCGAAGCAGAAATATCCTACTGTGGTGTGAGTGCTTTGCATTTAATAAGAACCAAATGCCACGAATTTGACTTTGTCGAATATAATGTCTATTAACGGTTTAAAATGCGATATATTAGTTAAACTTATTTTTAATGATTTTTAACTTCGGCCCGACGTTTCGGATGCTTTGCAGCAGCCATGGTCACGGGGAGAAGAATAAGTTTAATATATCGCGTTTTAAACCGTTAAAGTGAGTCATTTAAATGGCTACTACTCGCGTAAACTATAGACAGTATTTAATATAATATCTGTTAAAAATCTTCGAATCTCCGAGTACAAAGGTCGCTAGACATCTCGTATGAAACGTGTTTCCACATTTTGTATAGTGTGGTTCTATGACACGATCAAATTAAGTCAAATCTTCAATGTTAGAGACCCGACATTTTGCCCACGTCTGCCGGGCGTCTATATTCTCTTCTACGTCCGTATTAAATTGTACGGTACATTGAGCGACGCAGTAAGAAAATTAATAACGATTATTATATCGGATGTCATTTGCGTCGTAATCTCCGTTACGTGCATGATTGCTCCCAATTAACACTTGCCTCGATACCTAGTTGACTTATGGCCCACTTGATTTGTGCACTCTGGTGCGACTCAAGCCATCTCCATGTAGCCACAGTTGGGCTCCGGGCGCCTCCTTAGCAGATGATAGATGTCATCGAGAGGAGTGAGGAATCGGAAAAGCCAAAATACACGATAGTTCGGAAAGACTCCGGCGGAATCACCCCATTTCTTTTCCGTAGCATCGAGGTATCGATCGCCAAGCCCCCTCTGCATAAAACGCAATTTCACAGATAGGGAGGAATAAATTATTAAGCTCCTAACAGGAAAATTAACTGAACAAACTCGTAATATTAAATAACTCATTTCACATTCGCTTATTTCTATTATTTTTAATTTGCGATGACGTCACACCCGCCTTATTAAATGGAATTAGCAGTTTTTAAACGGATTTTTTAAACTTAATTTGATATTTGAGATTTATAAGAGAATATTATTACCAAAATCAATATTACTCATATTGATTTTGGTAATAATAGTACCGAGTTATCGAGCGTAATTATTCTGCTTCAGTTAACTTGAGCCTATTAAAGACTTAAACCCATGTTTCTACCTCGAATAATGTTATGCAGGCTTAACGAACGTAGACGATTTCATACTTATGTCTCAATAGAGGACCCCCTTTTCCAATTTATGAGACACCAGTTAATTATCAAATCTTACGATTATTTCCAGAATCCAGCCGAATGTGGGCCAGTGCATCTTTCGTGGGCGTTCTGATCATCATAGGAGTTCCACTATGGTGGAAGACTACGGAAGTGTTCAGGTATTGCCGACTGCCGATTCATATTATTTGGTTTCTTGAACCGTTATATAGCCTAAGACCTTCCTCGATAAATGGTCTATGGTCCACCAACACAAAAAGAATTATATAGGATAGACCGGCCAAACAAGCAAACTCTTCAGCTTTAAAATTTTCAAACTCGTAAAGCCCGCCAACGGACACTAGAGAAGCGTTGGTTACTCCCGATTGTCGTATAAGAGCGGAGAGATTTTCATAATACAGAGATTAAAGCAAATATATTAATTATTACATACATTTTTGTTAATGCCTTGACATGACCTCGCTTATCCTTTCTAAACCCGGGTCGAGTCTTCTTAATTTCTCGTCCTATAACAATGAAACGCTTGCGTGGCTTGCGCACACGACAATATGCTATCATCAGTGTCTGATTTTTCCATCTCCCAAACCCACTGGGTTATACACTATACATATGTATTTACACTAAAATAAACAAATTTCGGTTCTTTGGTGTAATGGTAGCAATGTACGGCTAATAATCAACTTTTTTCTAATTAATTTATAATTTTTATGAAACATTAGTCTTCGTCTATCCGTCGAAAATCTGTAGGTACATACATCGAAATTCTGTCCGGGTCACGAACCATCGTCCACAGATGAAAAAGCCAATTCATCACGTTGTGCTTACAGTCTCTGTATTGCGGAATAGGTCGACGGCTCAACTTGTTTAGATGCTATAGGCTTCTATACCTATCATCAAGAGAATCCCATGCCATGTCTGTCCTTCTCCATCATTAAAAAGATAACGCACAGACGCAGGTGAAAATATGTCATACATATCGTATGTGTCAGCTGCAATAAACGTGCGTTCAAACACGTAATAGTGATCAATGCACAATTCAACACTGTTTATAGTTTTATCAGTTCGTGATCGTTATGTAAGCGAGCATTTACTGTCGGGGTGAGTCCGGTTATCGCGGGTTCGACGCCGTCCGGAAACTGACAAGGTCAACTCGAAATCTGACCGGACAGAATCAGACAGACGAGTTTTGATCTGGTAGACTAAAGAAGTCTACTCTATGCTACCTGCGTGTTGATAAAAATCGACCAGTGAAGTAAATGTATTATATCTAAGTATCATCTCTTTTGGTGGCAGGAATAACGTAGCAAAAGACCACAACAAATATGGCCGATTTTAAATCTAAGAGAACTCGTGATGAGCTTTTATAGAGTAAGTTGTTGCCGCAGAAAACACAGGGATAAAGAAATATTATCCAAACGACCTTTTTTAACTCGACGTTTGTAACGCTTTTCAGCGATCTTGAATGAGTGGGACTTCTACCATCTACCGTCGTTGACTTTGCTTACATCGTGGAATTGTACTTTTTTAATTTAATATATAGTCCAGTCTCTTTTTACGATTTCATGTAAGTTGTGTGTTTGTTAACAGAAGTGCCAAGTTAGAAAAAATACAATATAGCTAATTATACTTAATTTCGTACCAGGGTGTCTCTGCCGTACGATAAGATCAATTCTTTCGACTCCGACTCACATTACATCTCCACGGAGCTAATCATCTTGGCTAACGATGCGCCGACTGCGGACGCCATAGCGAACCACATTCGCAATTCGCTGCATTCAGGTTCGTGTTTTTTTTTTTACTGAAACGAGTGATAAGATTGTTGTATCGCTTCCACAATCTCCTACATCGCAGGGCATCGACAAGCTGACTGTCTAAATGCTACTTACCACCTATCACGAGCCAGTAATTTTTTCCTTATTAACTCGCTTAGGCGAGTAAACTGTTGCATATGTGTCGGTCTTATTGAGTCAAAACATTTTATGACATATATTAAAATCTGTATTTAAAACATAAGTTTAATTTTTACAATTACTTTCCCACGGTTGCACTACATTTATTGGAGTTATCTAAAGTCAGCTAATATTTAGCATCTTTCAAGGCAATAAGTCTGTTTTGTCGTGAAAGAACAACAAACATTCATTCACCAGCTCTGACGAACAAAATTACTGTGTTATTATGCACACTTCATTCGCCACGAACACATTGTTGTTAATCCAATTAATTCATTTTCCTTATAACTATTTCCTGGTAACAAATGAAAAATGTAGTGTTATTGTAAAATGTGACCCATTTGGAATAAATGGTTAACGATAGATATCAGATAGGTGCGAATTGAACCTGGACCTCAGTTGTCGGAATTATTATAATATTAACTTTGTATACTGTGTAATTCAATTGTTCTATCACAGATAATAAACTTTTCCTTTCTAGAGTTTCTTGCTAAATCGTCAGCCGTTTTGTGTCCACAGACGTGATCGAAATCAACATTACAAAGCAAATCCTACCTGATAAACTTCGGGAAACCCTGGACGCCGTGGCCGAAGAGCAAGAGGCGGTGGAGGAGATCGGAGGCATCTTTGATCTGAAAAAACATAACGCCTTCTATGTGGTCCAAAGAAATCCACTGTTCCAAGACGTCTGGATCGGTGGAGAGAGGCTGGCATTCTTCAGGGATGGAAAAGGTGATAATGCCAGTTTACCTCTGGTTAAACAGCAACTAGAACGCGTCGTGTCATATAATGTTTCTTACCCTAATGGATATAACTTGTGTTTTTTATAACTAAACAAGACTTGTCTCCATATTTCCAGCTGCAAATAACCTGATGGAAGCACTCAGGAAATGGATCTATGAACCGTCCGTGCTGCACGGTGCAAGGTCAGAAACGGCCGATACAGCGAGGCAAGTCCGCTTTCCAGCAGGCAACGGGTACCACGTGGTCTTATCTGTGGTGAACCCGAAACCTCAAAAACTGAAGGTGGAATTCGACGCTGCTGAGGCTGTAGAAAGTGAGAACTTTGTCATTGTATGTTCTTAAGTATTATCTCTAAGGGATAGATAGTCTTCCATAAAAAACGTTTCACCTGTTTCATTTTAGATCCTGTCGGAGTCTTAAACTCAAACCACTATACCAAAAAATTTAGAAGAGTGCTTGTGAAATGGGAAATAGCACTCGGCATGAGGCCAGCTAAAAGTAGAGGAGAAGCGCCGGTCTTCAGTGCCCTCAAACTTATTTTTTTTTCTTTGAATGTTACAGATTACATCGGTTCGTTTGTCGACGAGTTGAAAGAGCTCCACAACATCACGATCAAGTCTCAGTGGTTGTATTTGTTGGACTTCGACTTTCAGCCGAAAAAGGTACTCACTTTTGCGCTTAATATTATCAAAATGCCGCTTACAAATATATATCACTAATTAATATTGCTTGTTACGAAAATGTCACTTGTAAAGTCCAATCCAATTAAATGCATGGGTGTTCATTTACCGCGCGAACTAAAAACAAGTGATGATGAAGTAATTGTGTACAATTATTATGTGAATGTTCTTTCCACACGTGAGCTTTCATCGTATTACTGAGAAATTAATTTTTCATATTTTCAGACAGCCGATACTACAAAAGTCGGCTACCACTACGCGATCCGCCACGAAAGACTTCACCTGCTGCTCACGAAGTTGGAGGAAAGGGCGGCCACACACGTGTCCGAGTTACCGACTATCAACCTCGCCCTGTACGTGACACAGTGTGACATGGCACCGGCTTTTATTTACGATACTCGCGGTAAGTTGGATACATTTAATATTTTCACATGCATTACGCGAGATGGCATTATATAAAAAACTCTTTTAGACTTCAGCGTATTCTTTTCATTTTTTTACTATTCAACAGACCTAAAAGTGGAGTCGTTAACTCAGGCTTTCATGTCTCCGAAATGGGGCGGAGTGGTGTTGGGCAGCCCGACCCTCGAAGAATGTGGTGACGGGACTTACAGACCCCGCGTGGCCCCGATTATGGGAACTTTCTTGGCCCAACTCCGAAAACTTATTGGAATCACCGATAAGGTTGGAAATTATTGGATACGTTTGAAATTAACGAAAGTCTCTTTTTTATCGTCTCAAACCGCTTTGAAATAGAAAATATTGCTCTCATTTCTAGGCACCGATCCGAGGGGGGTACTTAGAAGTGCTCCGATCGGTCTCGCCTCGCCGCTGGGAGGTAGACGCGCTGCTCAGGTTACGAACTTTGGAGCAAGTCACTTCCGCCGAGAGAAGCTTAAAATCTTTAGCCAAATTATTAGGTTGGTCAATTTTCTTATGTATCGGATTCAATTAAGAGAAGCTATTTTTAAAGTCTAGATGCAAATGAAGGTAAAAAGTACCCTTCAATTCGTCCCCTCTAGAACGAATGTTTGCCTCTTTTAAGAGTAAACTGCGCACCGTTAGAAATTTGAACAAACTAACGCGTGTCTCTAGTTTACGCGAGTAGTACTCATTTAAATAAAACAGTTTAACGGTTTAAAATATGTAATATATTATTTACACTTATTTACTAATTATTTTATTTTAAATGCGAACCGACGTTTCGGATGCTTTGCAATAGATGTGGGTATGGGGAGCACTCTGTAGAGAAGTTTAACTAATATATTTCGCGTTTAAAACAGTTAAAGTGCAATATTTATACTAACGTCATCTGCCTTTTATCTTTGTATTTTGCCATAAGTTACATTGTGTGTAATGTTCGTAGGTGAAATTTCAAATATTGTGATCAACGAAGACGTAGGGGCATCTATAAACACAGCGGTCGAAAACATCCAGCAGGCCAGAGATTGGATGGCGGCTGGACGGCTGCTAGACGCGTATAGGGCGTCGCAGCGCGCATTCCTAGCTGCGGACACGGCCTTCATGGATCCCAGCCTCCTGGCGTTGCTTTACTTCCCCGACGATCAGAAGTAAGAAATTATTAGTATCAAAATCAATGCGACAGCAACACATGCAATCGAACTTGTATACTTATAGCGTAGTATACACTCCTCTCAAACGGTTCACGTTCCGTTAAATGAAGTAGGTTCGGAAGGGCCCCGTTTGATATTTCGGGAAATATCACATAGTAGTAAAGACATAATTTCAGGGTTTTCAAAAGGTTTAAATTCCAGGTATGCCATCTACATACCGCTGTTCCTGCCCATCATGTTTCCAGTCATCTTGTCGTTGAAAAACCTCGTTTTGTGGTTCAGAGGAAAGACGCCCAAAGACAAGACTGAATAATACAATTACATACTTGGTAACTTATTAAAAGATTTATATATTTTGTCTAAGATTCCTTTTGGTCAACTAGCAGACGTGACGAGCTTTATAACCTTTTCTAAAGGACAATCCGATTTCGTGTATTATGCTCTGTGGTAAAAGCATTTTCAATAAAACGCGAATTGCCTGATCATTATATTATATTTGTTCTTAAAGTAAAACATTGGTTTTTCATACACAAATATTTCTTAATTTTCACTGTCCCTCGGAATGGAAACCGACTAAAAAGTGTGTCGAGCGACACGGGAGCTCAAATGGTTAGAGCAGCAGCACGAAACGTTTTTCATTCTAAGTAGGTTTTTAAATTTGTAAAATTCCATCATGTGCAAGAAAATTAAATATAATGGGGGTAGTTTGATATGTGCGTCAGTATAGGTTATAATTTATCGATATATACTACAACAAGGCTACACATCTCAATATATGTCTTACTTGCTAAAACCTTACAGTTGTTAGGCTCAAATATGGTTAAATTAGTGGAGTTTGAGCGCTTTTGAGTTTGACCTTTTCGCTATTCTAATTAACGTAAAAAAGTAGTGGACTTGGCATAAAACAGGGTTTCTGAAAAATGTAACAAGAAAATAATTAAAAATATATTTAAAAACATTAAATGTAAATACTGTCTATAGTTTACGCGAGTAGTACACATTTATATAAAACACTTTAACGGTTTAAAACGCGATATATTAGTTAAACTTTTTAGGAAATGATTTATAACTTCGGCCCGACGTTTCGGATGCTTTGCAGCAGCCGTCTCCCCGTGACCATGGCTGCTGCAAAGCATCCGAAACGTCGGGCCGAAGTTATAAATCATTTCCAAATAAGTTTAACTAATATATCGCGTTTTAAACCGTTAAAGTGTTTTATTTAAACATTCAAGGTATCATGGTACGGCACGGTGTAGTCGATCGTTGGATTTATTGAATGTATTTTTAGAATCAGATTATCAGCAGGTGATATCCCTTAAAGGGGGCGATACCTGGATCTATCGCTCTGTCGTAAAGTAATAGCACAAGGACGCAAAGTTTCGAAGTAAGTCGTAAAACCCTTTACAGTAATCGAAAGCTATTAAGGTGCACAATGCTTAGGTAAGAGTGTGTGTTGATATAATGTACGTTACGTATTATATAACCTTTACATATATTTGGCACAGGAAAAAGGTTCCGACTATGTGAGTAGTGTCCAGTGTGAAGTAACTAAGATGCGTACAAAATAAGGATCGGAAAGCTTACTTACAAGTATGCAAAGAAGTTTTTAACCAGGTCCTCTGTAAATATTTTTCTACGTACAATACAAATCTTGTAATCGCAATTAATGGCATATTTAAGGAAATTCGCACGAGCAAGAAACATTTGTACATCGGCCATAAACAAAGACAAGACTGTTTGTCGTGAGCCGTTCACGCCTCGACCCAATCGGTCTCCGTGATCATTGCCAGGTTGTCTCCCTTCCCGGGCATATACTCGAACTCCCACAGCGAGTTACTCAGAACCAGCGTTTCACTCTGCTTCAGCTCGATTCCGATCGGACTGCAGACGCTTTCGCACGGCGTCCGAGGCTTCAGCTGAATGTAATTCTTTCCCTTGAGCTGTGACATGATTATCAATCCGATATCGAACTCCAAGTACTTGAAGCGTTGCGTATCGTAATTCTTCGAAAGCAGCAACCAATTGAAATGAGAAGGCGGAATCTCAGGCGATAGGAAGTAAGGACGCGGGGCGAGGACTCTAAAAGTTTTAACGGCGCGAATGTCGCAGTTTTGGAAGTGAATGAACCAACTGGGTATATTGCTCTCGGTGATGCGGGAGACGATTTCCTGGAGGTCCATCGGCTGTTTCCCGATGCGGATGTTGGTCAGGATGCGACAAGGCACGGACTCGCGGAGACGGTCGTCGTTGCTGACCAGGCCTGTGAAGTTGTACTCGCCGGTGGCCCATTCGTTGTACGCATCGGTCACTATGACCGGGGCTCCACGGAGAAGGTGGTGGTTTAAGACCTCGTTGTGATCCGTGTTGGAGATGCGAGCTATGTCCTCTGAAAATGGTAAACATTCATTGGCTCATTCAATCAATTGTTAATTCGTTAATATTGTGTCTGTATTGTATTGTGAATAGTAAAAAAAATGATTTATCATAGTTTTTTATTCGGGAGGCGAACCCCAAACCGAAGTCAGCATTGAGTTCATCGCTTATTTAACACTTACGAATAGCTTCGCAGGCAATACAGTCGTTAGAAGACACCGGCTCGCCGTCAAAGTTCTGCATGGGGATTCTCTCCACGACGCATTTGTTGTAGTACAAGGGCATCCAATTCCAAAGAGGCAACAGCTTGATCAAAGTTAAACGGGTCACGGCCGCCACGTTCCATTGAAAGACGTCGGTCTGATACACTACGTAACCGAATGCCATAAACACCGTGCAAAGTAAAAAAATTCTTCGCCATCTTTTGATAGTCGCCCTCCTCACGGCAGTCATGAGAGGGCGACATATGACATCCATTTCGTCGTCGCTCATGCCCACTTCTTTACAATATTCATAAAATGAACGCACTTCTGAATTGAGTAATTGGAATTTCTCACGCTGCGACATGTTTTCCATGTTCTTTGTATTCATCATTTGGCTTTATAGCGGGCTTTTAGCCGCCGAACGATCAATATTGATCTTAAATAAGGTGTTGTCGCGTAAATGAATTTCGCGCGCGCGCCTTAAGTTTCTTTCTCTTCCTGTCTACAGAGTAAACGCAATGTATTTCTACAGAAGTACCAAATCTATGTAGCTCATAATTATATTCCAATCCATAGATAAAATAACTAATATGCTAACGATATTTAACAATGGCTACAGCAAGACCATTAGATGCACATTAATACAAAAAATATATTATATACAGGTTTATTTAAATTTCAGTTAAAGTTATATTAGATACCAAGTAATCATTATATAATCTGTGTAATCACTTATGCAGATGTCACCATAGACAAAGACATGCAATATACTTCTGTCATAATTGAGAGCATTTTGTAGTCTGTACTCAACCGCCATATTGAAAGTTTAGAAGAGAAAATTAGTCAAAGGTTGACCTTATTAATTATTACACCATTAAAAGTAGAAATATAAAAGCAAGGGTAGTGTAAAAATACTATTTATATTTTTAAATAGTATTACCTATTATAAAGTGTGTAAAAAACGTAATTGGAGCATTTTTGCAATCCTTTTGATGAATACGTCACAGCGCCATGTTGTATCCCTGCGCTGATTGCAGGCACGAGAAATCTGCCAACCCGTTTATTTTTTGGGATTAGTTCCCGAGAATAAATCGAACAGCGATTTTGTACTCAAATATATTTGGTTTTATATTTGTTGGCAAATGTTATAGACTTTTAGTGAAATCGATGACTCCTTGTTGTCTCAATTCAAGTGTTAACTCCTAATTTCAACTGCAGTTTTGTGCATCCGCGAAAGTTGAAAGGACTGTGTTGTAAAAGAAAGAAGTGATAATTAGCCAAAATTCCGGTCCCTACGCGTAGACGAGAAGGTGCCTACCCGCCGGGGCAGTCGGGCGAAGGAGATATGAACAACAAGCGAAAAAATCGCCAAGGGCCACCGAGGTAATCATAGTTTACGTGCGAGACACCAACATTCTACGATAGGACGACATGTCTATGCCTTTGTTTCTTCGGCCAGGATCCCGTAGGCACAAAAATGTAGACGTTTCTATTGTCAGATTGACAGGTTTTCCGATTGTGAGAATTGAACGCGTGAAATGTAAACAAAAGTATGAAATAGAACGGTATTCGGCACGCCACTAGATGGGAACAACGCACGGCCGCTAACGTGTTGGCTATAGACATTTGGCCTACTTTAGTTGTGGACTCGCCAGTCGCAATGATTAATTTAGCCCTGTGGGAACAGCTGATCCCTACACTGCAAATTAAAGCTCTCCTGCCATCTTGAACACTTGATAAGGTTATCACGAATGTTGTATCTTCGTTATTTTTGAAATTTGTTTAGAATGTCATTATGATACTGGCTAATTAGTTTTTAAACCACTTTACAAGGTACAATGCTAAGTGTTGGCAAGGGTCCAAAGTCCTTATAAATCCAGTTGGAATTTGGTACATGTGTTTATGCTTCAATCTTAGTTGCACTAGGTTTGCATAAACATTCTTTATTGTTAGTTTGCTGATGGTGTCATTATTTGTCAACTTAATTATATTAGAATTGGAAAATTCAGTTACTTATCTCACTTAATTATGGCCTTTTAACAGCAGATACAACAAACTAATCAATCACTTAGCTGTTTACTGTGTTATTGTTGTCAAATTGAAATCCCTAATATGTTGTTGGTTATTTATTTTTTGAGTTTTTAATTAACTCATTATTTACATAGATATTTATGTCTAGTAGCATCCTTACTATGGGTATATGTTATTATATATGTAAGTTTATTTTGATAATTGACAATTAATTGTTAAAATACTTGTACCGTAATGCGGCAACAAATATTTATTACGCTAGAAACGCCCTTCTTAATTTGATAATTAGCACAGAAAAAAGATAAATACTATGCAAGACTGGTCAAATATAATTTCTCCACATTAGCAATTCAATAGTAACAGTATACTGTGGTGCTCGTTTGTTCCTCTCAGCTTAATCATTTCCATTGCAAATCATGTCTTGTGCCACTTTAATTGGAGCTTAGGTAGGAAATTGTAGCATGGTTTCATTTTAAGTAATACACTAATATGTTATTTAAATTCTATTGATTTATGATTTAAGTTAGTTAAATACTCCATATACAGAAGTGGTTGTGTTATTATTATGTGCATTATGCAGCAAATACTTTTTTTAATTATTTGGTGAAGATAATATTGGTGGTGGAAGAATTAACTTAAATGATTTCAATGGTGTGGCTTCTCTCACGTGACATATAACTTTCAGCCTAATAAAGCCAGATTCTGTGCACGTCGGCCTCTTTAAATGTGAAAGTGTTATGAATCTTGCAGATCACCACGGGGCCGAGTAGTAGCGGAGGGAGTTTACAACAATGCTCATTTCATGCACGCAGCTACCTCACACGTGGGGGATATTGTCCAAGTGCTGACCCAGTCCGGGAGTCTGTGGGAGGGGGTCTTCAAAACTTTCAGTGCTCAGTTTGAGGTTTGTTTTATTTTTTGTTATGTGTAAGTGAAAAATTTCAAGTTCAAAATTTGGAAAGTTTATGCACTGCTGTGTTTGACTAGACTTTTATCTATTGAACACTGACACTTATTTTATTGTTATTATTTTTTAATGCGGACACTGATATAAGGCGGGATGATCAGTCCACGTTTGCTGCTACCCTTTTCACCCATTTTCTCTTTCGTCCTTTATGGAGGACATTGGGTATCCAACTAATCATATGAAAAGTATGTTTTTTTTGGGATTTTAAAAATATGTATGTGTAGTTATTTAATAGTTCAAAGTAATGTGTCACCAGATGGTCGGTGGCAATTTAAGTACTTTTGAGGTTAATCAGGTTGAAAGTTACTACATATGATGATAAAATGTTAACTAAAGTTTTCCCGTTTTCCAACTTATGGAATGATTACGAATAAAATTTCGAGGATTTAGAGTTAGCAATTTTCATCTCGTTTCCTAATATCAACAATTAGTAACTGTTCCTTGAAGTAGTCTCTGAATACCTCCTAAAGTCATGACGTTATTTTTAGTCAGAAGACGGTTTGGGTTTGCATGACGCAACGCATTATCAAGATATGGCATATTGTAGCGCTGTGGGCTAGCTTTCTAACGCGGCTATCAACTTGTCTACGTAGATGCACATAACACACAACAAATCAAAGTATGTGAATGTTTGACACATCTTCACATATCATGTCTTTAACAAAACATGTCGATACAAAAATGAGGTTTTTGCTCTTTACTTTTTCTAAGCAATGATGGAAAATTCTGCCTAAAATAGAGTAGAAAAAGCCGCGCTAAGGCGGCCGTCGTCACGTGGACGGCATTGATAATAGCGCCCTTCGTGCGGGCGAAGACTGCACCGCCGCGTTATCTACCGAAAGTGCAAAGTGGGTCGAATCGATATACGCATTGTGATCTCGCCCGTTTTTACGAACGCCCGTTACGACACCCGTAACAGCTATTCCATCGTCGTCTATCGCCTGCCCTCGCGGAGGCTCGAGACTCGTTAACTCGCTAATCACATTAGCATATGCGACGTCCATTGAGAAGGGGCACGTATTCCGACTCACATTCTTTCCACTTGCGTAAATAAACGCAACCTTTAGTATTTTATCGGAATCGCAACCCGAGACGATAAGGCCTCGCGTAGAAATGATCAATCCCTCGCCTCTAGATCCAGGCCGAGCGGTCTCGCTGCGTCGTATCGTAATCGTGCGACTCACCGGAACCATTCATTCCTTTCACCTCTTGGCATTTTTGCCGAAGCGCCTCCGACATTTCCCGTCGTCTGAGCCCTTCCAAGCCGTTAAGTGTAAATAAATATACCTACCTAGAAAGCCCCTTTTTCTCGTGTGATGAACTTCTTGACCGAACATCGAATCTCTAGCGACCTAATTTAAGGACTCAAATGACTGTGTGAACACTTTGTTTTGAATGCGCATCGAGGGCCCTATGAGGCCCACGAAACGCTCGTCAACACCGTTATCCATACATGTCATAATTGCTCATGCTGCGCGTCGATTTTTAACTAATGCTAATAAATTAATTATACATATACAATCGTCATGTGAGTGTTTCTTTTACGGAAATTTCGCCGTTCTGACATTCTTCTTAAGGTTGGCTTTGTTGCACATTGTTTTAAATCGATGTTGCATAGAGGTTCGGAACATTTCTGATATGTGATCACCTGTCCATGAAAGAGATTTGACAAAGAAACAACCATTGCACTGTCTTATTTTCATACAATAACGATAAGGATAATGTATAGTTTTTATATTGTGGTACAGATAGAGATCGAAAACTATATTAGACATTAGTTAGTGCAATAGACATTATTAGGAATCATTTCACTTAAACTGTAATCGCGCTATTTCACAAGTTGTAGAAAAAAAAAATCTTTAAGTGGCTATATCTTTCACAGGCCTTTTGTTTTCTTTATGAGACTGAATCTACAGGTCAATTGATTTATTTTTTATTGCATATTAGAAGTACCATGTTCTAGGTTACCTAGTAGATATAAAAAAAAAAAAACAATATGTTATAATCTAATTAAATATAGCTGCAGCCTATAATTAAGAATGAACTATAGGCTGCAGCCCTACCTTGCTATTCATACGAAGCGTAAAAGATTCGGTGGCATCTGAGCATATGATCCGGCGATGAATCATTTCGCCTCGCTTATCTCCGCTGACTTCCTAGTGTCGCGGCCGTATTGTAATTTATCATTCGACCGGCTCGATTAGGCTTTAAAATTATGGTCCGAGTGGGGAGAAGGGGAACGCCCAGCCTAAACCAAATATCGACATGTGTCAACTTTTATTTCACCTGTTAATTGAATATTCCGCAATACGTATCAATTTTATCCATTAGATTCATAAACCCATGACACTGCTGTGTTTTCCAGGTGGTACTAGAAGTAGCTCACAGAGTAGACCAAGACGGTGTGGTCGCAGTCGACTCAGTGGTGGAGAAACTGATCTTCAAGCCGCAGGATGTGGTGTCGATCCGGGCCAAGGACTCGGACCTAGAATACGCGACGCACGACGTGTTTCAGACCGACAGTGCGATCTCTAGCAAGTTTAACGGTAATTGTCTCCGATCGCTCTTGACCTATCAGGCTAGTTTGGCGGTGGCGAGAATTTCTCGTATGTTACGCGAGGTAGTACTCTACTTGCGCACTGAACGTGTATCATCATGGTTCAGGCGTTATGTGTTAAATGTGAAGCATCCGAGCGATGCTTTTTTGGCCACAAAATGGAAAAAGCAATATATTTATTTGTTTCCCATACGATATGGGCTAATGTTTAGCCTTACATCTCATAATATCCTCTTTTCTTGAATTATTTAAGCAATCCAAGATGGAAACGAAAACAAAAAATCTTAATACAGGAGTGTACACCTACCGTAGTTTTTATAAGCTACATCGTCGACCACTAATTCGACCTATAATTTACGTAATGCATTTTTTATGTCCGATAATTATCAATCGCTCTGGTACAACGTCTGGTATTCGTTTACAATTGCAAAGGCAACGGACGGCCGGGCGAGGAGCGGCAGCTGGAGCCGTGGGACGGATGCGAGGGCGAGGCGGGGGACTCACCCTCGCTCAACGGGGACGCGCGTCTCGAGGACCTGGACCTGGACCACCGGGCCAACGGCTGGGACGCCAACGACATGTTCCGGAAGAACGAGGAGGTGTACGGCGTGCACAGCACCTACGACCACTCGCTGGCCGGCTACACGCTGCAGCTGCAGCGCAAGGACACGCAGGACTATAGGTTCGTCTCACGCGTTGCGAAATACAATTGCTCTTTGCATTTCACGCTATAAAGAATGAATCAATAAACAGGGAGGCCGAAGCGAAAGCGGAGGAGATAGCCGCGGAGATAGAGGGAACGGCCACTTACAAGGCGCGCATCGAACTCGAGAACGGAGATGAAGAGGAGCGGTTTGCGGCGGTGGTGCGGCCGCAGCACGAGCAGCCCAAGTACGTCATACCTAACAAGAGGAAGAACGGGCAGGTGAGTTTGTAATTCGGGGCGTTCTTATTCATGTTTAAACGTGACTCGAGGCGAGGGCGAGAGGGATCTTACATTTGTTATAAGGGCAGCGACATTGAACATTTTGTTTCGTTAACTGTAGCAACAGCAAACGAACAAACCTGCCAAGTCAGCCAGCGGGGCCGGGTCCCCGGGGGGTAAAGGCCCGCGGGACAAAGACCCCCGACCCCCGAGACATCACCTCACTCCGCCGGCGCCCGCGACGGATAGGCGAGTCGACGATCATATGGTATGCGCCTCAGATATTAAAATAAATTAGCGTCGATTTTTAATGTAATAAATATGGTTGTTAAACGTGAAATGTTTGCACAGTCCGGGAGCAACCCGAGCGGCAGTGCCACCGGCAACAAGAGCTACGCTGCGCAGGCGGCTGGGCATCACCCGCCACCGTTCCCGCACCACACGCACGCCCACGTGTCAGTATTCGCCTCATTCGTTGCGAAGTTAGAGCGGTTACCTTAACAAGAACCCTAAATTAAATGACATGAAATTGTTTCAGAGCGCCAAACAGCAAAATGAATGGGGAACCCCGCTCGGCCACAGGACCGCGGCAAGGCTTCCCGTCACATCACCATCACGTTAGTGGACTATGTAACTGTGTGATACCGCACGCCCTCCTATTTTTATGTTAGATTTACGTTGCGCATACGTAGGCTGTAGGTGTGGGCTGGAGAATTTTAATTAACTCAGTAAAGCCCTGTGGTAGACCAACAGCACGATGCCTCGTTGCCGTCCCTTGTTCGATTGTCACTATTTTATCCCCTAATGTATAGAAACTAATATATAGAACATATAAGAATGATCATCGTTTCAGAGCGGTCCCCCGTCGGAACCGAGCGGCCGAGGTCCTCGGCACGGACCGTCCGACACGAGGGAGCAGCGAGATCCCAGAGAGCCACGAGACCAACGTGACCCGAGGGATGTGCGGGACCAGCGGGAAGCCCGAGAACCGCGCAGGCAAGACGTCGACCTTCAGGTGAGAATTTTGCTCCTTTACTTTACGTAAAATATATGTTATTAAATAAAAATCCCCAAAACTGTATTCACAAAACCTCCCACCCATTACTCTATTGTTTTAAAAATGACTATTTAAAAATAATAGACTACTTCTGTTTGAAAGGATCTACGCAAATTCCACCAAGACTTCAAGTTGGTGGCTTCTCCCGCGCCGGCGCCCGTCCCCCAGGTGCAGGCGCAGCCACCTCCGCAACTGCAAGCCCCGGCCCAAGTGCAGCCCCCCGCGCAGCCGCCCCCGCAGCCAGTCCCCTTACCCCAACCGCAGCCGCCTCTCGCGCACAACCCTCAACCACCGGTACTATTCGTCACTTCTCTTTTAGCTCTCGATATTAGCTGACAAGGGTTTTATATGAGCGATATCGATATACATAATTGGATGTTCAAACGCATACATACAACTCATGTACTTAAGGACCGCCTCTCCTTGATTTTTTTTATTGATTTGTTATCCCAGTTACAGGTACAAGCGTGTCCCGTGCTACCGAACCCTCCAGAGGTATCGGCGAACGTCGGACCTCCATCGGAGCCCCACAAGCGACCCGCTCGGGCCCCAGAACACCATAAGCCCCCGCCGGTCCCCGTCCCGGAGGACGCGGAGGAGACGAACCGCTCCCCCGAAGCCAGCTCGCCGGGCGTGGAGAGAGCTACTGCGACCCTCAAAAAGTCTACTCTCAATCCCAACGCGAAGGAGTTCAATCCCAGCGCCAAGATTTTCACACCGCGGAGCCCCACGACTCCGTCGCACAGCAGGTGAATACGACGTAAAAGAATCAAAGATAGACAGATCAAGTGAGCTAGCCAGGAGCGGAAAGTGTATCTTTACACCAAAAATTTGGGCCAACTTTTCACCTACCCACAACTTGAAACCTATTATTAGTTATTATTGCCCTAAAATCGACAAATTGAATGTGACTGACCTTTTATAATAGATCGAAACTATATCCGACTCCCGTACTAATATTCCGTATTACTTATTATGATCGTTGTCTATTGCACCTATAGACGGTCGTGTGATCCGCATTGTCTGCCTGACATATCACCCGCTTTCCCATTTCCTCCCCTACTTTGAGACTGCGTATATGACAATACACTGTAGCCGAGTTGATCTGTCTTGGCTAGTTTTCGTTTATGTCATGTGACGTTACGTCAAACGTTACTTTTCGGTTCTTATTTTATCATTCCGGGATTTTGATTTGCTGGTGTAAATTAGACATCGAATATAATTCGTATAAGAATATACATACATATTTTACGTTAGCATAAATAAGTTTTAGGGTCGGCCATTGGAGTCGGTACCCATTTAGATCTCACTCCTTTTGTCCTTGATGTCCTTCATTCAAAGAATATGTATATCATAAAATTGGTCTTGGCCTACAATTAACATTCAAGTTCTTAAAAGAATTATTATTTTACAATTTATTAATATTAACTTATTTGAATATGTATATAAATGTTTTCAGGCCGCACACGCCCGGTACGCCAGTGGGCGTAACCAATATGGGCGTGGCACCGGTCGGCCTAAACGTGGTCGGTGGGTACGTGCCCGCTCCGCCACCTGGCCCGCACATGGTAAGAGGCTCTTCTTTATAGCCCTGGCCGACATCTTCCTTACGGTTTAGTTTATTTTCCAAATTTGAACTCTTCCAAACGAGCGAAGCCTATACATATGTTAATTACGACGGTCCGATGATTTGACATCAATCATTGACCAAGTTTGCTGCAAAGCATCCGAAACGTCTGGCCGTAGTTAAAATAAATGAAACATAAGATAACTTAATATATTTTGCATTTTAAACCGTGAAGCGATTTATTTAAATGTGTACTTCTCGTGTAGTACAGGCAATACTTATATCAAATACGTACAGATCCCGGCGTACGCTGCAGTGATGGCTGCCGCTGCAGCTGCTTCGCAGCAGCCGCCAGCCTATTTGCCGCACCCGCATCCAGTAAGTTCCATGCATTCGTATTTATTTAATAAAACTTAGGGTTTAATACTGTTCATTTGATCGTCTTCACTGTCTGCTAGTACGAAGCATAAGTCGTAGTTAGTGATTTTGTCGGATAAATGAATATGGAGTAATATCAGTTCCACCTATGTATAGCCACCGAACGGCCCGATGGAGATGAGTTGTGAATGCCGGCAGTACGGTCCCCCCATTCTGGTGCTCGCCGAAAAGAGGGATAGGCACGACGCGGTGAGGAGTTTGGGGGAAAGGGGAGAGGCAGCGAGTGATCAGTGTTCAGAATTTCATTGTACCTGAACCCCAGAACACGTAAAAGGCACTGGTCACTCCGAAATATCATTTCCGATTTTTCGTAATACATTAAAACAACAATTAACGAACGAGTGATTTTTTTGGTGTTTTAGTGTTTCTAACATGTTCACAATAAATAATATCATACAACAACTAATTTTCGCTCACACTTATTCTCTTTGGCTCCTCGATTACTTCTTCCGGTTTCAATCCGACTAGTTGTTCACTAATGGCCCAGAGCTTAGTAGCCAACATTCCGTTCTCCGCCTTCGCGCTGGGCGCCACCTGCTTGCAATCCTCGAAGTACATTCCGGTGGCGACGTCGCAGTCGTTCGAGATCGCCAAGTACACGGACGTCTGCGCGCCCTCCGCCGGCGTCTTGAAGAAGAAGTACAGCACCAGGGTTCGCAACTTCTCTAACAACGTGGAGCTCCTGTACAGCGACGTGTTGACTTGGCCCGGATTGAGACTGTTGACGACGACCCCGGTTCCTCTGAGGCGCCGGGCCAATTCCTTACTGAACAGAACGTTGCACAGCTTGCTGTTCGCGTACGCGCGTATGTACCCCGTCGACTCGTCGTTTAGGTTCTCGATCGTCCCGAATCTGTGCCACGCGGAGGACACCAGCACCACGCGGCTGGGCGCCGCTTTCTTCAGCAGAGGGACGAGCAACGTCGTCAACAAGAACGGTCCGAAGTGATTGATCTGCATGTCGTTCATAAGCCCGTCGTCCGTTCGTCGGCGACTCGCGCACAGTGCACCCGCGTTGTTAATTAGAACGTCCAATTTGGCCTCCGTGGCCTCCAGCTCCTCCACGAATTTGCGCACCGACCGCAGAGACGAGAGGTCGAGGTGAACGTAACGCACGCGCTCGTTCCTGGTCAGTCGGCTGATGGTCCTCACGGCTCGCTCGCCTCTCGCGTCGTTCCTGCACGCGACGATGACTTTGGCGCCTCGTCTCGCCAGCTCCAGGGCGGTCTCGAACCCGATACCGCCGCTCGCCCCCGTCACCACCACCACTTTACCTCGCATCACGGTCTTCTCGTAACATCTCCCGGCTCTCAGTTTCCCGATCGCCTTTATGAGAAAAATCGCGCCCACAAACCACAGAAACCACATCGTACTCGAAAGGAAGGACAAAGTCTGATTTGTAATTTAATTGATTCGCGTTATCTCCTTGATAATCGTAATCGAACTAACTCATTAATCGTCCCGAAGTCGCCTCCCGCGGCACGAGCAGAGCGCCGAGTGCATATCGCACGTGTTTACATTCATGTTATCGCTGAGGTCACATCCAGGGCGTCGGTTTTACTATCGGCTAAGTGTCTTGCTCGCAGTATTTGGTGCCTTCTCTCGAAGAGGAATGACGAGTTTATGACTTACGTATTATTAACACAATTGTTATTCCAGAGTGCTTGAGCGTGCTTAACAGATTATGCCTTCTCTAAAGAGAGTTGCGGCCAGAAATAGAAGTGAATACATAATGATTCAATGGCTTTTAGATATACGGACCGATGCCTGGCGGTGCGGCGGTGGCCGGCGCCGCGGGGCAACACGCTCCGCTACCGACGCAGCCGCGGGGGAACTTCAGGAAAGGTGAGTTATGCCGACACCGAAAAGACAAATTCGCCAGATGACTAGTCTGGTCCCAAAACCATTTTTAATAATGGGCCTCGGTTTTGTTGCAGGAATGCCAGTCGCGACGGCGACGGGTCAACCCTTACTGACGGGTGCGCCGATGCAGCCGTTTGTGCCTTACCCGCACCCGCACCCCCACCCCGCGCCTCCCCAACCGGCTCTCCAGTATCCTCACATGGTGAGTTAACAGGGGCGTTAGTAATGAAATTGATTAGTTAATTATACACTGTGTCACTGAATCGGTGCTTTGATGTCCATACCCAGTCATTCGAAAAGTATTAACTCATGAACGTGCGTAGTCCGCGGCAGAGCTTTTCTGGTCGTATGAGTCGAGCCAAACCATCCTCAGATGAGGTATCGCGATCGCTTCGCTTACTTATAGGTGAATATTGCAGGTGCGTATGTACCATCCGAGCGGCGCAATGGGCGTGGGCGGGTCCGTCGGAGTGGGGGGCTCTGTGGGGGGAATACGCGCCCCCCGCGGCCTCTCCTGCCGCCGCTTCGCCTGCGCTCTATCCCCCGCCGTCGCCCGCGCACACTCCTCACCCGCACCAGCATCAGCACCCCCATCCACCGCATCATCACTATCAGCAGCAGCCCTTCCAGGTATAACGTGGTGGAACGATGCGTTCATTTTAGAGTACATTAGCCGCAGCGTATGTAGTAAGTTAATTTATGTATTTATTTAATTGATGATAAACGATTGATGAGCAAGATATATAAAAAGGTCTCATTGACGTGAGTCGAACTAAAGTGTGACTGCGTCGTGATATCAATTTAAAAAATGGCAGTCCTGATCTAAGCGCGAAACGCTGCGCAGAAACGTTCTTTTGGATGTTAACGGTGGTAAGAACGAGGGGCGCGGGACGAAGATCTAGTGATTGACTTAGTGTCAACACAATCAACCGCTTATTCTATCAAATTTTGTAATCGATTTAGATTGTGGATTTTAAATCGTGTGAGATATTGTACTAAATGGGTTGATGAACACAGTGAATGGTGTTCTTAATAAACAATACCATGATTACCTTTAAGGGAAAATAAAATCATTAAAAACTTTTTTCATTATTGAACTACCTGATTTAGTTAAATATGAGTTGTTATTTATATAATTACTATTTATACCTTCTTTAGGGTTTTTTATAAAATTATATTTTTACGATCCAATTTTATCTATATCAATAGGAATCGATTAAACGACACTCTCAGGGATCGCGTATGGACATCTCTATTTGGTTCTTTCGTTAAGCTTCGTACAAATTCGGTGAACAGTAGTGCGTCTCAGTCACTCGTTGGTGTTAATTTTGTTATCTCTGTCTTGAGCGCAGTCCGTTAGAAAAGTGATTATTTATTGTTAAATTTAATATTATTATTTCTCTTTTGTTATATTTTTGTGTTGTTTCTGTATTTTAGTGAAAGAAGCCCTTATTCTCTTTGAATCAACTATTGGTATGTCACTTTTGCTTTCTTTACGTAAAATTTTTCATTTAACTCAGTAACGAAAATGAAGGGCAGTATTAGTTTTCTTTAAGAGTGTACATGCGCCAAAGTTAATCTATTATCTAACCTCTGTTCAGAGCTGGCAAATTACGTCGACCGTATTATAAAGTGAAGTACCTCTATTGCTCAAATAAAAAATATCAGTAAAATACTTTTAATTTTAACGATCTATACTAAGTAATATATAAAGCTGAAGAGTTTGTTTGTTTGAACGCGCTAATCTCAAGAACCACGGGTTAGAATTGAAACATTATTTTTGTGTTGGTTGGAGCATTTATCGAGGAAGGCGCATTGCGCTTCGCACTATATACAATAATAGAAGCGAAGATACAGCGGGAAATGTAAACAAAACGGTTCAGACGGTTCAAGCGCTGCGAAAACGGTTCAAGATACCTAAAAAATGTGTATGAAAGAAGGATTTCCCCTATCTTTTAATATTTACTTGCAAGAACGACGGGAAAGGGCACTATCGACGTCGTGGCTAACAGCTTAAGTTTATAAAGATTTTCGATTTATATATTATAGTGCCACCTTAAATTTCCATAAAGTAATTATTGGGGATAATGAAAGAAAATTTTAAAAATGTAGACGATGATGAGAATTTTTTTATTTTTTAGTTTGTCCAACAAATTAATACGACTACTTCTACTAAGAAAAATAAAGACTGCATTAAATTTAGAGTTCGGAAACAATTCGCGATATATGTGGCAAATTAGCCCTTACTTAGTATAATTATTATATTAATAAGGTCACGGTAACCATAAAGTTAAATGTTTTTGGAAACAAATACTAGTGGAGACCGCAGTGAAATGTTTCTTAACGCCTTCCTCATTTACAAAATGTTATTCCAGTTTGCAGAATTAAATTTACAGAACAACAGAAAAAGACATTTTTTATAAAATAATAGGATTATTATTGACTGGCATTTCCATTTAACCTAACTCTCCCACTTTCAATATTTTTTTAAAGTGGAAGATTTCAACAAATTCCACACTTAACATGTTCTCAAATCTGTTCCCTTACGTCTTTTCAATATCAAATCGCTGTGTACACCAGTAATTGGGTCCTACTATAGTTCTATTTACATAAATCTACTTACATAATTAAGACTACAAGTTTTTGTTATGTTATATGTTAGACATTCACAATCATTCAAATAACAAGAATCCTACTTCAAACACTTCCCTATTATATACGTGATAAATAAATAACAGGCCCTTTGAGCGAACGTTTAGCTTTTGCTTTGCATTCGTTTCTTATGAATCGTTTTCGTTTCCAGTATGTGCCGCAGGTGCTTTGCCCCCTGATGGGGCCCGGCGCTGGGCCGCACCACCACCACCATCACCACGTGGCGTACCTGAACCACGCGCCCCCGACCGCCTCGCCGCCCCACCATCCCCACCATCCACATCACCACCCTGTGCAGGTGACTATCTTTCGCTCTATCTGAGAGCAGTAGACGCCACGCGATCCCAATAAGATATTAAACTTAGGAAAAGGAGAAAATAAGAATGTCTGAATTTCAGCAAGTACTTCTACCGCCGCAGCAGCCGTCCGGGGGATCGAGCACGCCCGGCGTTCACTCCACCCACCCGTAAAACGAGTTCGGCCGCACACCAGCGAGCCGGCCGCACATCCGCAACACCCGCCCGACCACCCGACCGCCGTGCTAAGCGCGCCCGCCGTATAGGCCGATAGCTGAGCTACGATGACGATTTGCATCTAGATATTTCTAAGGAATATTGTGCAAATCGAATCCGACATTTCGGTGGCTTTGCGTATAATTGTCACACCTCGAACTCCAAACGCGGGAACGAGAAGACGCGAGCGGGCTTAGCACGGCGGAACACGGGCGACACGTCAACATATGTATACACTATCCGCTTCGGTCGGATCTTAATATAGGTAGATAAATGTAATCCGGGCCGGGGCATCGCGCGGGGGAGATCGGGGGGGGCAGCTATACAGGGGGTATATATCGTCGTTACATTTTCGAACACATTCCGCGAGAACAGCGACGTCTGCCGACCTCCACCGCGCTCTGCCGACGTCCGCGACGTTTCGACGCAGTGTTGCGTCTATTTATTTATAATCGTCTGCGTTTTCTACGAGTCAATTGCAACTTTTGCGAAACGCGTCGGACCATCGGAAGAAGCGTACGAATCTGAGCGCTCTCGGCTCTCGCGTCAGATGTGTAATATAAGCCTTTACTATTTAGATGTACAATGATACGAACGGTTACTGCCTCACTGAGTCGCGCGGAAGGAGCGAGCGCCCGGCGACGGACGTTCGTGTTCGGGAAGAGATGTGACAATAAAACCTAATTCTTTTCGCTTCGACTTCGCGTTTCCGCGTAGGCTCGTCGTCCCCCGCGCCCTTCGCGCCTCCCGCCTTCCCGCTTCGACTGAGCCGAGACTGAGACGGAGGAGCGAGTCGGCGCGGACCGAGCGAGATGTATGTTTGTCTGTTGAATGAAGGGGGGCATAGTCCATGACCTCCGCGCGGTGCTCCCTGGGTAGCGCCAAATGTGGACTCAATTTCACATCGTAGAGCGCTCTGATCCATTTCGCATTGCCTGCTGCGGCCTACTGCGGTGAAGCAGACCGCCGAGAGCTTTTGTGTCTCGTCTCGGAAAGACCTCGAAGGAGCCCGGCTACTTCTTTCTTTCGCTTCTTTAACGAGCCGGTGCGTGCGAAAGTATCTCGCTCCCAGTTCAGCCGCAGCCGAACTCGCCGTAAACGAAGTGATCCTCCTTAGATGTAAATATGTAAATAGGAAAATGTAGAAGTCCCCTCCCGAACGGCTTATATGATTTCTGATGCATAAAAATGAGTATTGAAAAATCCCAAAAAAAATTATAGGGAAGGGCCTAATGGGCCGACAGCGCACCGTCGACGCTTCGGCGGCGCGCTGCGGACGGCGTTGATTTTTTTTGTTTTCTTTTTTTATTTTATCGAAGCGTGTGTGCGACCACCGCGTGATTGTTGTGAGTGAGATATTCTACGCGAGCGTTGATTGTTGATTCTTGGACGAGGTCGTTTCTGTTATTGTCCGATTGTTATGTCGCCGTCGTCGACAGCGTTCTTCGTGGCGGAAACGTCGAAATTGTGTCTTATATGTATTTATTCTCTTGTCGGCCAATGAATGAGAAATTTAGTTTCGAACGACACCGGGCGCGAAGTATGTATGTATTCGTGAGAGCTGTCGACGTTAGTTCAGATGGTTCGTGGAAGTAATCTGTTGACTTAACAATCGCGGAACCTGGAATTATGTTTATACTGTGTAATTGAAATATTATTGTATTGTCATATTTCGGTTAAGTTTTACAAAAAGTAGCCATTAAAGTCCTGTATATAGGATCCCAAAATCACAAAACTGATGAATAATGTATGAATTGTGCAAAATTTACGAAATGTAAACGTACGGTAGCAAACTCTCAGAGAGAAAGTAAGTGAAGTTTGCTACTCACCAGGAATGTCGCATTCGTCTCTCTACATTGTATATTGAGAATGATTCGTAAATAGTGCGATAACGCGCCGAACGGCATTTTACAGAATTGGGCGTGAATTGCGCCTCGTATTGATTTTACTCCACCTTTGCGCTCGTCACTACTTTTTAAACGGATTCTTAATTTATTGAACTTTGCCTAGCTGGCTGGCCTTTGTTCATTTTGCGTAATTATTACAGTGTATTTTTTCTTACCTGGCATTTTTGTAAACTGACACAATTTACATGAAATCGTGAGTTACGAAGAATATGTAACTAATGAACTACCTTAAAGTACACATACTAAAAACCACAATTTCATGCTAAAATTAATAAAAATCCTTAAAATAAATTACGTAAATGCACAGATTAAAATTTATTTACTTTGTCATTTACATAATGATGGGACGTAAGGAAAGTCAACGACAATAGATGGTAGAAGCCCAACTCTTGCTCGATCAATGAAAAGCGTTACAAAGTCGAGTTAAATAATAATCACATAGCAAATTTACAAAAAGTCGCCATAAAAGCAATTATATGTCTATATAATGGGTATATATGGTATGGTATGGGTAAAGTTAATAAATAAATAATAAATATATCTTTAACCGTGTGTCATCTGTGGCAACGACTACACTCTTTAAAAGGTCATCAATAGTTCTCTATGTGTTAAAGTCGTGCATAATAATTGTGCTCTTTTGTCAAGTAAGAAAAAATACACTATATCTATAGACCGAGGCGGTCGCCACTGTCCGGGACTGCCTCAGTGCAGCCCGGTGCGATTTCACGTGGCGCCAGAGCCCGCCCGACGGGATGCGTTACACCGACTGTCCAAACCTCGGAACCTTCGAGAAGCAACGAAGAAAGTTTATTTTTATAGAAGCGAAGTCGAGCGGACGCGGGAGGTTCTGAGCGGTAACGAAGACTGAACGTCTCGTGTAAAGTTTTGTAAGCGATATTCGGAGCCTAAATTAGCGTTGTGCGAGGTAATGTCGTGAGGCTTAGGAGGGCGCGCACATCGGCGACCCTTATTTTTCAATAAAAAGTAAAAAACGTGTTTCGAACACAACAATCTTGTCTTTTTATTTCACGCTTTCGATTACAGAAACATCGAGTGGGTTAAGTATATACTTCAATCTTCGAGAACACTGAGGCTAGACAGAGAGAGAGCCCTTAAACATTTCTGATGTGTCGCGTGTGCATCCTTTGCACTCCGTGCATTGCGCTCCTGACTTCCTCCAAAAAGGAGGCCGAATTGTGTACCGTCGTTCCGCCTAGGATGACCTTCACGCCGGGGTTCGCCCGGTTTATCTGGTGAACGCACAACGCCTCTTCGTACGTTGCGCCCCCCACGACGAACACGATGACCTCCTGGGGTCGCCTGCTCGAGATGTCTTCGCCTCCTACGGCGGGGTATAGGTTCTCGCGTAGCTTGCCCTTCAGTAGATCGTCCAAAGTGTCTTTCAACAGAGGTGTGTGTTGTGTGTAGATGTTTTCTACGCCGCTCAAACCCTGCAATGCACAGGTCGTATCAACTAAGTACTAATTCGATGCAAGAGTAGACTGCCATGCTTCAAGCGAAAACGAAAACGAACCTTAAAGAACCTCTTAGTTATTTTAGCCGCATCCTGCAATCCGAACAAGTCGCTCTGCCTAGAATGCGCTCCGGCATACTCCAAGACGAGCACCGCCGCCCGCGCGGCTGCCTCGCCCCCCCGCGCGCGCAACGTGTCCACCAGCGACGCCAGAGCGTTATTCGAATGTTTCTCGTAACGCAAGGCGTACAAGGCGACCAACTTTACTAGATCGTCGATTCGCACTTTCTCGTTGCCTAGGAGAGCCTTCACTCGCTGAAAACGACATCACATTAATACCCATTTCGGTAGATAAAGAAAGGAGGCCGACATTATTTTCCCTTTCACTGTCTGTGAACGGAGGCAGAACTCATTTATCGAGTACGCAGAGCTACGGCACCGTACTACGTTCTATCTAGCTAAATACAACAACACGAACAAGAGTCTTGTTGAACATATAAATTGAAGACAGAGAGAGAGTAACCTGCAAATGCTTAGCGTGGTCAGTCTGACATGCCAACTCTTGCTCCAGTTCGGATACTTGCAGCAGCTCATGTCGGGCCACGTTGGCAGACAGCTCGCCCACCACCGTCACGTGCTTGGTAACTGTTCCGCACATTTTCTGGAAATTAACATTCGTCGTAAAAAAGTGTTGCATATTACAAAGAACTGACTAAAATTTTATAGAATAAAAGAAATAGGGACTTTTTATATATGTATATCACATATGTGGTCGTAGTCAGGTACGATTTGGCCGTCAGAGTTGATTTCAAAAGTTACCTTAAAAAGAGGATAGGTCTCAACAAAGTTCTTCATATCGGCGATGCTCTCCACTTTCTGCTGACTCTTGGCCTTTTTCTGGAACTCGTCCATCAGAGATTTGATTGTCTGCCCGATCTCTCCAAAGTTCGAGTATAGATTCTGTCCACAAGGGGTGTAAACTTGGTACAGGTGGTTTAAAACTCTTTCTTACAAAATGCAATAACTAAAGGGCAAATACCTTAGCGTAGAAGTCATCCTGTTCAGCAGATAAAACCACTTCCCTCAAATCTTTATGTACTTCGGGTACGTGTGCCAGACTCACACGATTATTGTTGATCGTGAGAAGTTCGTGCACCATGGCCTGGTATGTCCACTGCGACAGATTTGCGAAATTAAAAACAGTTCAAACACAATTAGCTGTAATTTCCTAAGCCGGAGGCATCTGGTTCGCCGCGAACGAGGCGGCTCGGTAAACACACCTATTCTTTATATCATTGTCTTTCGGGCTGTTCGGCCGATGTGAGCGAGAAGAGGTTCTCGATGTTTCTTAATTCTTCGAGCAATCGAGGAGTCAACATCTCCTGATGATGCCGCCCACACGTGATGGCGAAACGACCTATCGGCCGAACAGCCCGAAAGACAATGATGGCCTTACACAATTTATTACACCTATTCTTTGTTAAGAATGCTGACCCAGGGATGCAAACCTGATGTAATAACGGCGTCACAGGGTCGTCTCGCCTGTCCAATATTAGTAGCTGAGGAGACACGTCGGCGTATGGTATGTTGTTATCCATGAGCGCAGCCTCGCGTCTCACGAGCTCCTTCACGCGTTCAGCAAGACGAGAGCAGACCGTAGACCCTGTGGCGTATCTAATGATGGGACGTTTCTTTAAGGACAAAAACAGAGCAAGCAAGCCTTGGGAACATCGCTGAAGGTGTTGCTGATTCCATGACGTACCTGTAAGAGCAGCATTGGCATTACGCGTCTGAGCTAGGTATATACACAATGAATTAAAGCATTTTATTAGATTTGTCCAAAATAGTATTTCATACCATGTAAACAGGCGGGTATATTGAAAGAGAAAAGATGACGATCCACAGCTAAATAATCTGCAAAGACTTCTTGTACCTCTCTCACAGATTCCTGCTGGTCACATTCTGCCAGAGTCTTTACGTCTGACTTTGATATAACATTGCTGAAATCTAAAATGCACTACATTAACTGCCATGAGTAATTAAAGAAATAAGTTGTGACTTATTTCTTTTCTTTACTTTTTATAGTTATAAATGTTAAATTCCATTAACATCTGTAATTATATTGTAATAAAACTGAGCTACACTTACAAACATAATAGACTCCATATTTAGGGCATCTCAGCTCTCGGCAAAATAATGCCAAGTTCTCAGAGGTAGGACGCAGGAAGACTATGCATTTCATGTGTTTTAAATTGTCCCATTTGGTCACACTGTCTATTCTTTCAAACAGGTAAACTTCTTTTTGCAGAATTTCAGACTGGCTAAACACCATGCTGACTATACTTGTCTAGAAAAACAAATTATTAACTGTGACCACAATTACATTAACAGGATATTGTCTGTTTAAAATGGCATATAATCTGCAGCATCTAAACAATATATCTGCCCAAAACTAAGTAATAGTGGGCATAAATACTGAAACAAATATTGAAGAAAATTATATGGATGCTGTAAGGTACTTCATATATTTTGCTAGCTTCTATGATAGATAGAAAACGTTTCTCAAAAGAATCTACAATAAGCAGCTTACAAAAGCAACTTTGGAATTCTGAGGTATTATAGTCTCAAGATACTAGTATTAAAGAATTTGCCAAGGAAAGACAATTACGAAAACTGGAGACACTTAGCACACTATAGGCCATCATGTATTTTCTTGTCTATACTTGGCCAAGGCCCAAGAGGCTTTAGGCTCTTACACAGTGAAAGATTAAAATGACACGATTGCATTCGCTTACCGTCTCCTTATCCATTAGTATCACTTTCATTCCCGGCCCGCTTTCCTCTGTCATTTTGGTTATATACATTTTTACTGCTTGTATCACGTTCATTTTGAATTAAACGACTGCAAGACAGTATGCGATCAAACATTCAATTATAACAAGTAAAATTATATTTCACTCCATTAAAACAACATTTGATAACAGGGAATCTCATACGGCAAAGAATTCAGTTTTTAGTATCACAGTAAGTATTCAATACTAAAATAGATTAAATAAGCCGTTCTTTTAATCCCAATTCCCAAAACTACTTAATTTTTTCTTAGATTTCAATTTTCAATAACATTTATGATAAAAATTAAAAATTCGTAATTGACACTGTCATTGTCAAATGAGTCTTTAGGGAGTGAACCGTCATGTGTCACTAAACTTCATAAAAACAATATTGCCAGTTCTATAGCAATGTCAAATGATATCGATGTCGTTCGTCAACTAGCAACACATCAGTTATAATCGCGTAAAGGTCGGCCGGGTCGTGCTGAATAAAAATTAACTCTAAGGAAAAATCTGACTGTACTCCTTATTAATTACAACTCTAGCCATGTTCTCACGCGCAATGAAACCTTTAGCGACGGTGGCGGTTCAGAATGGTGCCAAGACTTTCTCCACTTCAAGCCAGGTAATCCCCTACTTCGAAACTTGGATTCCCCAGCTTAACCTTGAATTGCGTTTCTTTCCTATATCTAATTATCACAAAACGATGAAAACCTTATAAAACCATCTGAATTTGTAATCAACATTTGATAAATTGGTTACGTGACAAACTGAATCTCTTATCAGAACAATTACAAAGTCGTGGTCGCTGGCGCGGCCGGTGGAATCGGTCAGCCGCTCGCTTTGTTACTGAAACAGAACCCCTTAGTCTCGAGACTAGCATGTTACGACATCGCCCCGGTGACCCCTGGAGTAGCAGCAGATCTTTCCCACATGGACACCCCGGCCAAGGTCACCGGTCACAAAGGACCTGAAGAACTGCCCTCGGCCATTGAAGGTACCTTTAATTTGACAATTATATTTTGTAGGTTATGATATTATTACATAATATCTTTTCCAACAAATTGTGGATAAGTATACGTAATCTGTTCACTGAGTTCTCAAGAGATGTAGAATAACAATATCTCAATGCTATATTGCAATTATGGAATGAGTTGTTCTGTCATTACTGAAGGATTCATTTATTAATACTGATCGATTAAGTTTTTAAAGATGAATCGTTATTATACATATATTTTAAGTTGGTTTTTCCTATATATAAATGTCTGTTAACATTTTAGAAATAATGTTAAATGGCTTTAATTCTGCACGATTGTCTGAATGTAGACCACCCTGTCCGTAAGGTGTCTTTAACAAACATTGTTTAATATTATTTGTAATAATATTGTTTTAAAATATATTACAGCAAGTTCTATTTGATAAGAGTAATATCAGTGAATGTGTCACTTCTGATAAGACTACTGACCAGGCAAAAATGTTGTATTTCATCACAACTCCCAGAATCATCATATACGGATAAATAATGATAAGTGTATTAATTTAAGAAACTTAAATTCTTATCAAAACCTAAGCTAAATACTAACTTATACTTGCTATATATGAAATGGATTTAATAACTTACCGTTTTGTTACAAATTCAGCCCTCCATTGTATTTTTAAGGTGCCGATGTAGTTGTAATCCCTGCGGGAGTACCCCGCAAGCCCGGAATGACCCGTGACGATTTGTTCAACACTAACGCGTCCATAGTGCGCGACCTAGCGCAGTGCGTGGCCTCCAAGGCACCTAAAGCTCTTCTCGCCATCATCACAAACCCAGTTAACTCCATGGTCCCTATTGCTTCAGAGGTTCTTAAAAAGGTATGCTATTTTTTGCACAAATGATTTGCAGCCTTTTGCAGGTTTAAGACATTCAGGTGTCGACCTACAGAATAAGATTTCCATGCGGCTACCGTCTTTGTATGTCGTACAGTATATCTATCATTGATAATTCCAGGCCGGCGTGTACGACCCGAAACGCGTGTTCGGCGTGACCACCCTGGACGTGGTTCGCGCGGCGGCCTTCATCGGTGAGATTAACGGGGTAGACCCTCGCTCTGTTACCATTCCTGTCATTGGTGGTCATTCCGGTGTGACTATTATTCCTCTGCTCAGCCAGAGCCAGCCTGCCGTAAAACTGACGGACCAGAATAAGATTGACGAGCTCACCAAAAGGATACAAGAGGCCGGAACTGAGGTACCTCAACTCAACTCTGATATCAGATTCAGAAAGCCTTTAATATTGTATTTCTTATATACTGTTTCTTTTTTCAGGTGGTAAAGGCAAAAGCTGGAGGCGGTTCGGCAACTCTGTCGATGGCATATGCTGGAGCTCGGCTCACTAACTCACTGCTCAGAGGACTTAACGTAAATATCTTGACACTTGTGGCATATCTATCTCGACAATGCTTATCAGATCTTAGTAGAGGCAAATTCTTACGACTAATCTCTATTTAAGGGAGAATCAAACGTCGTGGAATGCGCGTACGTGAAATCGGATCTCACCGAGGCCGCCTACTTCGCAAACCCGGTGCTGCTCGGCAAGAACGGATTAGAGAAGAACTTGGGCTACGGCAAACTAAACTCTTACGAGCAACAGCTGCTCAAGGCGGCCATGCCTGAATTGTTAAAGAACATCAAGACCGGAGAAGACTTCGCAAAGAAGTGAAAAGGCCCGGGTGAGGGCCGCCAGACCAAGATTTCGGAATTAGTCAAGAGAAGTAGACTTCAATGATTGTCACCTTGGAAAGTAGAATGTCGACGAACGGTCTGGTCATCGATAGAATGATTTAGTGTAAGAATTGTAGTTGAAACGTCTGCTCTGTATAAAAACAATCAAAACTATTTATTTTATTTTATTTTTGTATTTGCATTTTTTAGAATCTTTTCCTGCCGTTTCGCTTCGTCACAAAGTGGCGTCGTGAGTGTTTGTATATATGTACGATGTTTGGTTAAATGGTTTGAGTGAAATTCTGAATAAAGTGTCTTTTTAAGTCAACATCTTTATTTTCCTGGATTCGCTACTGACATTTTATTAGTCTTCTACATAGATATAGCTCCGATGAAATCACACACTTTTCTGTACACCCTAATGTGAGATTGATTTTCGTAAAACTCGATGTAAGTTTCGATCACTAGGAGCACTAAATATGCGCAGAACACTGTAACTCCAGTCCAAGTCGACCTTAGTACCGCCGCAGTTGCGTCGCAATCGACGGCCGACTTCCATCTTTAAGTGATATATTTCTAAATATTGAACATCTATTCTGGTTGCGTTTTGGCTCGCGCTCAATCATATGCGCAGTCGCAAGATTACTTCGTTGGCGACCTTTACTATAAGGCTACACTCAGATGACAAGCGATCGACGAGCGTTCACAACTACAGACATTTAATTCTAACCGTATGCGCTATCGCTCGGCGCTATAGGATCATTAGTTAGACAGATGAATTTTCGGACACCGGACGACCGTAACAACTCGCCGATCGTAGTCTGGACGTAGCCTAACAAAGCACTAGAAAAAAAACAAATACCAACATAAAAATACAATAAAATACCGAAGCAGCGAAGAATAGGTTGTGAATCATATGTAAAGGAGCTGAAACAATGGTAGACGTTTGATGTCGGCAGCTGTATCTGTTTATTTGAAAGCATCGATTAGGGCATGTGGCCGAATGTCGTTACTGCACTCTGACGAAGTCGCGGGCGACCCTTTTTCGGAAATTAAAGAAAATAACAAAATACTCTGATTCTTATTTATTGATTTGTCCTTTCCGTACTTGAAGATCGGACGTACATGGATTATCTTTCCTTTCGTCTACTTACATTACATTACAAGTTTATAAGAAATCACAATGTGTAGCCGCGAGCCGGCCCCGCGCCCCGCACGCGTCCGCGATCGAATCGCAGTAGATCAGTCGAGTCGAGAAAGGCAAACGTAACGAAAGTAGTAAGTGGCAGTGACGTGTTTTCGCATAACAATAACAATTCGTGAAAAATCGTCTATCGAGGGTAGTCGGGGCGACGCGTGCGCGCCGGGGCCGCGGACGCACACACCAACACACATAGCCCGCTCGCACACGTTCAGACTGACTCCGACTCAAAAATGTCTATCGAACTTATATTTACCTGTATAATTACAAATGCACAGTATGTATACATAACGATGACCTTACACTTTTACAATATGTATAGTTTTAGCGTCGCAACACGAGACGGGCCCGCGCCGCGGCGCCGCTTAAAACAAAAGAACGATGCGCTATTTACAGGAACGTGAAATGAAAAGCTACGCGTATACTAACCGTGTCGTGACGTCATCGCTGCGCGGGCGCGTCCGACCCGCGCCCCGAGGAATCTGCGAATTTACAAATGTACAAGCACTCGGCGCCCTCAACGGACGATCGTCGGCGATCGTGATCGAGACGGAAGACTTGTTTCCAGCTTACTACCACTCTACGCGCTACGAGTACGGGGCGACGAACTGCGCGTCGCTCCTATTATCACTAAGGGCAGATTCCTCTCGCGGCAGTCGGGCGCGGCGGAAAGCACTACTTCTACGGAACATTATATCACTTGAGAAAGTCTTATAGAGTAGAAATTCGTTGAGATACACAATATCCAAATTCACCGCTTCGAATAGATCTCTCGCACGTCCGCACCATTCCAATAAATTAATCCGCCTCTAAAACGGGCCGAAGCGCGATCCTATCTATGTACAGATTTCACTAATTAGGTAATTTCATGTTTAATAATACAGTTTAATAAAAACTTACAGAATAAGAATGTACAAATTGTTTCTATATATATATCGTTCGAAGCGCGAAGAAGCGTTCCTCGTGCGAGAAACCTACCGCCGCCGCTCCTCACTTCCGCGAGAAGCGAATGACGCTCGAGCGCTCTTCGCGCGATCCGGCGCCGGGCTCCGCCTCGTTCGCTATGTTGAAGCACTCCAGCTTGAGCCGCTCCTTGATGCTGAGCGGCTCCTCGGAGGCGACGTAGGCGTTAGCGCTGGTGGTAGACCTCTGCAGGTCGGTAATCTTCTTTACTTTAATATATCTTATGTTATAGCATTTAGCATTCGAGTTGAAATGTCTATTTTCGCGCCTCTTCGCACTGGGTTCGTCACGTTTTCGATTATCCGCTCTATGTACATCTCGACGCTCTGCGGCAGCGGCACGCGTGGCGTCGGCCGCTTCGCGAGAGCGTCGTCGACCACTGCGACGCGCTTCGTTGACGTCGCAGTGGCGTCGAGGGCGCTAGGAGTCGGTGGTGGGGGCGCGCGCCGGCGGATGTCAGTCCTCGTCCGAGAGGGGCTCGTACTGCGCCGACATGAGGGGAGCCGGCTCGGGCGCCGCCGGCCCGCTCGGGGGCGGAGCGCTCGTCACCACGCCGCCCGAGGGAGGCCCGCTGCTGGCTGTTAAGTTGGACATTTAATTAAATGATCTATTCACTATTACTTGTACAAATACTACTTATTAAAATATGTCTGAATTAACTGTTATACTGCTCCTTTAATTTGCTAAAACACTAAGCTATAAACAACTGATCGATTACTAACGGTCGGCCGGGGTGGCGACGTTGAGCGCCGAGTAGGGGTAAGTGTAGGGCGTGTTGAAGGGCAATTTGGTCTCGCCGCTGAAGGGCAGCTTCGCGTCGGAGTCGTTTCGCATCACGTCTACGATCCGCGCAGTCACGTAGTCGTAGGCCGTCAGCACGCCGCATCTCACGCCGCTCACCCCGCTCACGCCGCTCGAGAAATGTCTGTTGTCGCTGCGGCTGAAACACATTCACTCGTTTTCAGAAGCCGTCCTAACGTACAGTATTCGACCAAGCGCTGTATAGGGCCGCTCGTCACCTGGCCGGCGGGTTGTCGGTGGGCGAGACGGGCTCGAAGTAAGAGTGCTTGTTGTCTCTCCGCCACTCGTCGACCGAGTTCGCCGCGCTGGTGACGACCGCGCCCGGTCCGCTCGCCGCTGCGCCCGACACGCTACTGGCCACGCTACTCGGTTGGTAAGAGTCTGCGTTCGGGAGTAGCCGGTTACTGGAAAATAGATCAACTTAGCTTAGCGAATTCAATTTCCATCATAACGTGACACCCAAAGCCGGATCGCAAGTCGACGTACTTGTGGTGAATGAGCGCGGTGGTGTTGGGGCTGCTGAAGTCCCTGACAATGATGTTGGAGGCGAGGTCCCCCAGCTTGATGCTCGTGGTGTGCGCCGCGCTCGTCATCGGTTGCTCGTCGCGCCTCTCCGTCCCCGCGGGGCCTCTCTCGGGCTGCTGACCGCCCGCGTCGCTCTCGCGAATTATCTTTCGGAAGCGACGACAGTTAGGAACGCCAAACATTGGACAAAAGCCTAAAAAGGGCCTTAAGAATTAACACTCACGGGAAATCTCTGATCTGAAGTCTGACTGATCTGATGCGTGATAATAGCGTTTATGAGCGACGCAGCTGTCAGGGTGCCGTCGGTCGCTCGGCCTCGTTCCGCTACGGGCGCACCACCGGGCACGGGCGGTCCGGCGGGCGCGCCGGGTGCGTTGCCGGCCACGGGAGGCCCGCCGCCCACACTAGAACTGCTAACTGTCGCCGCGCAACTCACTTGCGGGCCGCGGCTGCAATCGGTGGAAAGTAAAAGTAGTATTAAGCATGACCGACCTTTTTCACAACGAAGGAAGTGCGTCTGAACTCACCTATCCTTCCTTTCGAGCGTTTGCGCGAGCGCCGCGCGCGGTTTTCCCGCTATGCTGTACGCTGCGCTGTTGTTACTAAATCGTTTGTCATCTTGACTCGAAACTACCTGCTGTGAAAATCGTGTTAAAGCGGTATTTAGATGTTATCCTACGTAAGTATTCATCGCATGCTATCGAAGGGGCCTCAAAGTACCTGCGGATGCGGGTGGTGGTGGTCGTGCATCATCTGCGGGTGCGCGGGTCGCTCGTCTATCACGTAGCGCCTCGTGCCCATAGACACCAGACGTTCACGGCTGCGTTCGGAAACGAGGTTCGTTAAAGCGAAGTTTTCTTACTAACTCGATATAGGATAAGAGTTTCGTTACCTATCCCTTGGCGGCTGTTGGGACTGTCTTTCTCTATCGTATGGTCTCCTCTCCATATCGGGCGGGTAACCGGCGGCGGCGGCGCTTGACCCCACGTATTTCTGGTTTGTCGGAAACTCTCTACTGTTCCTGATTAACGTATCAAAATATTAACATAATCTATTGATGTGCAAGAAGCAATCAAAGTCAAAGACTGCATTGACCCACAAAAGGATACCATAAGACATTACACTATGGAAGTAACTGAAGTAGACAAGCTTGGCTGTATTTTCATCAGTAAGCTGTCGTATCTTCTTTACAGCAAAGGCTGCAAAGCTTAGTTAGTTCGAAAGATGTTTAATGTGTTTACAATCGAGAGTTATAACCAATGCGTGTTCATTATTGGTAAAGATGCGCACTCACCTGATATCGTGATGCTGTTGGTGTTGATGCTGCTGATGATGCTGGAGCTGGTGGAGCATGGCATCGGAATCCGGTTCTCGTGAGCGGGGAACCGGCAATGCCGCGGCCGCCGACGCCGCATTCACCAGAGAAGTGAACGCTTCGTGACCTGATTCGGGAACAATGAGAACAATCGATCATTCAGTTTCTTTCGAACTGACAATGAGCAATAAGACAGGAGACACACTGACCGGGCGGAGGCACGGGGTGCGAGTACGTATGCGAATGCCTCTGAATGACCGACACTGCGTCTCGATCCCGCCTGATCTGGTGTATTTGGTGCTGCTGCATCGGTTGGTGCTGTTGGTGTTGATGCTGCTGATTTGCTGGTGCTGTTGGTGCGTCTGGTGTTGCTGGTGGGGCTCTCGATCTCTTCGCGCACCCGGGTGCATTTGTTGCGACGTAATGAAATCCGTTAACATTATCTGGCGCCGCTCGAGGCCATAGGGGCCGCGCGCCACCGCGGTGTTTGTCGGCTGCAAATGACACGTTGCACATTACGATATGAATGAAATAATGAAGAGTGTTTGGTGCGATTGCCGTACCGTTGAGAAGGATTGCGGAGACTGGGGTCTCGGTTGATTGGCTGCCCCGTAGTACCCTCCGCCGGGACTTCTCCGCCTGTCGAAGTAGCGTTTGTCCGGCAGATGGTGCGGAGCGTGTACCGGAGTCCCCGCCGTGATAGAGCCGGTCTTAGGATCCGGCGGGGTCCTCTGCGCCTCGAATCGGCTTTCCACAGGGGTTCCGAGGGTGATGGAACCTTTAGGGTTGGGGAGTTTCATCGCGGGGCGCGGAGACGCGACCGGCTTGGGTTTTGCATTGTATTGGGTAGGCGACTCCCGCTCGGGCGGCGGTCGGTAGCTCGGCTGGTACTCCGTGCTTCGATATGGCTGAAAATGTGTACCAAATATTACGACAATGCTTTGTCTGTATACACTTAACCTTGAAAATTTAATTTCATTCTACAAATGTATACGTACGGAAGGCGTTGGATGTCGTTCGAGTCGCGGCCTCTTGACCGTGAGATCTAGGAGTGAGTCTGCTTGAGTGGCGTTAGGGGCAGAGGCGGGCGGTCGTTCCACTTGCAGCAGAACTAATTCGGGAGCGCTCTCTGGCGGTACTGGCGTGATGGTGGCCCCTCGGGGCGAAACAGCAGCGTTGCTGTGGTGCGACCCGCTCACCACGGTCAGAGTGGCCAGTTCATGGTTGGCCTGCTGTTGCGGCTGTTGCTTAGGCGGAAGTGAGTGCAGGGGCGGTCTAGAGTTCTTCATTAGGCTGACCTCGATCATGTTCGATACTACGTCGCGAACTGTCAGCAGCGGGTGTGCAGTTACACAAGGAGTCGAACTCGCCACTGTCACCGCGCTGACTCCGCTAACTGCGTTTACAACGCTCGCCGCGCTAACTCCGTTCGCGGCAGTCTAAGGTAGGAGAAGAGGTTACAACATCTGCAGCTAGGATTCGACGGTTTTTGATTTGTGTTTAAACTCACCTTCGCACTGGGCGCTTCGTTTTCCTCGTCAGCAGTCTCCGTCGCGGAGGAGTCGTACTCATCTCTGCGGTGTCTCCTGGGGGCCACGGCGTCCGTCCGCGGTCCCGGAAGGGGGGGCGGCCGAGGTGACCCCGCGCTCGCCGTGTCCGTGTCCCCCGAACTGACGAGACTGTCGTCCGAATCGCTGCCCTTTATCGGCTGTCTCTCAGTCAGCGACGTGTCGAGCTGGAGTTTTCTTCTATACGTGAAGTAAAAAGCTTTAAGGCTAGCGGGCGGGCGACCGCTGGCGGTAGCCATCTTGTCCCAGGAGGTGCCATACTCCCTCAGGAAGCCCTTGAAGCGAGAGATCTCCTCCTCGGTCGGTTCCGGCGCTCCGCCTCCCTCTATCGCGTCCAATCGTCTCGTTATTCGCTTGAAACACGTGAGACAGCATTTGCTGAGAGTGCTCGGGATTTCTGAAAGACCAAATCCCTCGTTAGACCGCAGGGAAACTTATGCTCCGCTCTGTTTCGTCGATATGTGATCGTGTACTCACTGAACTCGTCGACGATGGGCTTCTTTGCGTCGAGGGACAAGTCGTGCCACCGGGGCGGCAGATGGCGGAGGCGCTTGGTGCGCGGGTTGGAGCACGTGCGGACGGTGCACCTGCTCCGTCTCGCTCGCACGAACTGGCAGTGGCAGCCCTCGCACACCTTCTCCCCGGCCGAGGCGCCGTCGAGGCCGTACTGCTTCGCGTTCGACGGTGTGACGCACCTCGTGGCGTTCGCGGTGAGGCAGATGGCGCAGTCGCCCGCTGACACCGTCGTCACGGTGGCCGACGTGGTCGTCGACGACGGCGTGCTCGTGCGTTCCACCACCGCTGTTGGAATCGAAAATTAACAAAATATAAGTACCTACACAACAACTAACTACACAACAAACAAACTCTGTACGGACGCAATATTAAGGTTCCCGGCGGGCCCGGGCGCGATCGGCTTCGTTAATTATTCCGCCGTAATTCTATTGCAGCCGTCCCGTTTTACCCGAGCCAGGTTCAAACTGTATAGTAAATATCCGTAGTGAGCTTTGTTTAATTCGCACAGAGCAGCGGATTAGTCAGCTCGACTGCGAGTTTATTGAGCTAACCGCAACGACTGCAGTTCTCGAGACGTTGCTTGGCAAATTAGCAAATTAGCGATCGAGATGAGAATCGTACGGAAGGGCGATACAAGAGCGACAGAGCGACCGTTAATCACGATTATAGCGTGTAAATGCACAATAATGAATATTTGAATCCGCCCGCAACGAGCCCGGGATCATCCAATTAATCTCTCAATTAGCGATGTTTGAACAAGAGCTAATTGGATCCGGCTCTTTGGCTTCGCTCATTAAACCCGCCACAATTCAGCACTTATTCCGACGCTGTTTGAACAAGATTAGCTAACCGTTCGCGTCCACTAAACGTTGTCTTTACTTTGCCATCCGACGAAGAATCCATCAGCGAAACTTTTGACGATCACATTCAACTACAATGGCAAAAGGGCTCGCTCGTGCGAGGGTAGACAGACGCGGCGACTCAATTCTCCGATAGAAGCCGAGAACTTGGAATCGTCGCTTATTTGCTTGAGCCGCGGAGCGTGACAATTTAACGAGCTCTCGCAGATTCTGTTTATTCTGTGAGCAAACAGCGGAGACATTTCGCAGATTAAACGCACGAGCCGCTCTCCGCTAGCGTTTCGTGTCGTACGATATATAATAGAGACGGGTGCGGGCGATCCGTGCGCGCATTTAAATCGAGATGAGACGGCAAAGGGCGTCCGCGCGACGTTAAGCCGGCCTGACGTTGATCCCGGCCTCACAGAGAATAGCTGATCGGTCGCCGAGCGCTCGCTAATTGGATTGCGTGCATTATTACGATTGCGGTCCTTCATCGCGAACAATCGTCCTCGAGCGCAAAGACAGTGGAGCGGGAGCCGCCGCGGTCCCGCGGGCGCGAGCGAGGAGCCCGCGGCGAGGGACATCTAAGTGAATTGAGTGTTTGCCGAGAGAGGAATATTTCATAGCTCTCCGGATCTTTTGAAAAATTGTCAAGCTCCATGTTTTATTAATGAGCTCCGAGCGAGACGTTTCGCTTCGCGTCGCTTTCATTAAGCGACGGTACATCGCTTAACGATCGATTTTTCAATAATCATCCGAATAGCAGACGAATTCGTGTAAACCAACGGACGGGACATCGTTTAACATTTCATGAAAGCGGAGGCACAACCCTAGTCCGCTTTCGAAGCCCGGCGCCATCCCTGATCGCGGTGAGCGCACATATAAAGCGCCGCCGAAGATTCCCGCGCTCAGTCCGTCGCCGCCAGGCTCGCGAGATGCTGTCCCTGTACCGCGCGTGGCTCGGGCCGAGTCCGTGCGTGGCGCGGCCGGCCCCGCCGCCGGGCGCGCACCGACCAGTGCCGAGGCGGGCGAGGGCGCCTTCGCCGCCGGCCACGCCGCCGCCGCCCTCGCCCTCTTCCTCCGCCTCGAGCGAGCTGGACGTGGAGCGCATCGAGGCCCCGGAGCCCCCCAAGAGGCAGACGGCGGTTCTAGACGTCGCGTCGTGCGACGGGCCCGTGCGCTTCAGCCGCGTCCCGAACGCGGCGTGGCGCGCGTCGACGCCCGAGCGCGACTGGTCGTGCCGCCACCGCAGAGCCGCGCGCGCCTCCATCCACTACTACCCTTGCAAGACATGCGGCTCCAAGTTCCCCTCCTACTACTTCGTGCACAAGCACAGGAAGAGGTGTCACGCGGACGAGGCTACGCGCGAGTCGCCGGAGCCGTCCACGTCTAGCGCTTGAGCGCTGTTTGACGTGACCAGTGAGTGTTTGTATCGTTTAAGTGAAAATTACCTCTTTCTTGTGCGCCGCTGCAGCGCCGGTCGCGTAGCTTTTACGTTGTCGTAATTATGAAGGCCAAGCGCGTCGATCGTCGTTAGTCGTAGTTAATTAATTATTGAATTACGTTCTATAACAGTTACGTGTCGACTTTAAAAAAGGATGTCTGAATATATGTTATTGAAACTGAAGAATTGTTTTATTTAATTCTAAAAAACAAGTTAATTTAAATGAAAACACCTTAACAAGTCGTCACACAATATACGCATATGTACTATGTAGGTTTACAGTAAAGTGCTAAATCATCGCGTCACGTATACGTATACGACATTTGTTTTAGGCGAGCTCTAAAAATGTATATTATTACGAGTTTTACCATTTTTTAATGACAGAGGGGGACAGACGAGCATGGGGGGTTTACTTGACAGTGGCTATAATAGATAAATAAATAAATAAATTGCTACACTTAGACCGACGAACCCGTTTCATTCTTAAATTGGATTCTTACTCGTAACTAGTGACAAAAGAAAGAGATCAGGACATTGGAACTATTCCCTCAATACAGAAATAGAGTAAATTGATTTTTTGTTTTATTGCAGAGTCCGATAAGGATAACACCGGACCTAATGATGGGCTGATTTTTCATTTATAGGGGTCGCATTTTCAATCATATTTGAAAACGTAACGCGTGGCGTACAGAGTAGTCATTTAGGGCATCAAAATTCATTTTTGCAAATTCCTCCTCATCTTTATAAATTCTAGCTGTTACCCACCCACGACGTCGTCCGCGTCCCGTTATTCTTGCAAAAGTAAGCTTCCAAGATACACATATACTGCCGGGGACATTTTTTTGATCATTTGAACAAGAATCATTGTTTCGTACATATTATTTGTGTATCTTGAACCGTTTTCGTAGCGTACGCCACGGATCAAAGATAATTTGCGCCGTTTTTCCACAAACAGTTTTTTTAATTCGAACCAGTAGGAATTAACATTAGGTTTACATTATTATTTAGGTTTTTTTTACCAAGCCATTTTGTACTCTTTTAGATTTTAAGGGTTTTTTAAATATTATTATAAATATTTCTTTAAATTTGTCATTATTTATTCAATTATATGTACAGATAGGGAGATTCATAGTCGTACAACATATATTTAGTAGTATTAAGCAAATTGTAATTTTTTTTTAAAATCTTAATTTCCTTCTTTTTCCTTCTCATTTCCGTAAATTAACCCGTTATAGCGATGGAAGCAATCTGTAAGTGCTATGTAAGGCTGTTTGATTGTACGTTCAAAATAAATAAATAAATAAAAAATATTTGTACAGTCATAGTTACTTAAGTCTGAAATAGTTAATTGCGCATAATTTTTAGTTATATATAAATTTAACGTAATGTTGTACGAATTTTAATTAAATAAAAATAAATGTAGTTCCCGAGATTATCAAACCGCGTTCTTTACCTTAATTTAAATATTAGTGTAGATGAACATGACATTACAGTGTTTTTGTAAGTAAATTAACTCGAATAAATAATATATCGGAAAGAAGCTTATATTGGTTTCATATCGTTCGGTCGTATCGCAAATGAGTGTAAAGGCTAGGGCAACTTACCAGGCTCGAGCGTGGGCGTGGGCGGCCGTGTGGGCTGCGGCGTGGGCGGCGCACTGCCCGAGACACTCGCTCCGCTCGTCACCGCACACACGTTTGAAACTTGACTCGACGTTGTCTGCACAGTAAGCATTCGTTACTCCTCCGAGAACCTCAAGTAAAATTATGTGATAAAGATTTTTTTATTTAGAGTGATTTGCTGGGGAGAGAAAGACGTTGGGAGTTTCAGAGGAACTCCAGAAAGGGAGTTCCTCGCGTACTGTCGTCTTAGAGCCTAAAATGCGACAACATTCCGTAGTCGAAAGAAGGAAGCGCTCCGTTGTGAAAATCACTGACCGTTATGACCGACGTAGGTGCCGTCGCGTCCGTGCTGACGGGGCCCGCGCTGTCGAGGGCGGGCGGCGTGGCAGGCGGAGGCAAGGGGCTCCCGGGCGGCAGACTGATCGCGCTCACGCACACGCCTTCGCCAGACCCGCTCGCCACCGTCACTGACAGAATGCTCTGCCCACTAGTCACTTCACTCACTGGCACACCGCTGTTCGGAGTCTGTCCGCCGGTCTGAAGGGGCTCCGGCCCGAGGGCCGAGTCGGTGAGGGGCGGAACGCCCGTTAGACCTATGCTCGTGGCCACGGGCGCAGGGGGTGCCGAAGACGCCGGCGGAGGTGACGGCGGCAATGGAGGCGTCCGGCTCAACTCCGACCTGGCAAATGTCGACACTTTTACGATGTGTTTCCCGAAGTATACGTTTAGTTTATGAAATTAGCGAGGCTCTCTAAATTAGTGAGCCTCGGGCCTAAGGGCGTTCGTCGGTAAGGAAAGAAGGCGCCCGTTAATAGAGCGGTGGGTGGTAATTACCTCCGGGGCGAGCGTAAACAGTTCCCGTTGCCTCGCTATTCAATTAATCCCAACTTCGCCGCATTAACGTGGCGTTAATTTATTTAACTTATTTGTTGCGACGCACGCGTGACAGTTTCGTTATTCACTTGTGGGAACGATTCGAGCGACGTCGGGGCGCAAAAGGAGTGAATCGATGCGCAATATCAATAGCAAAGCGGGATTGAAAAAAGTGAATTCGGTGGGTCGCCCCCTTCTACCTCTTCCCCCTATCGGTGGGAGCTTTAATTAAGGCAATTAGAAAGATGGGCTGCAGCGTGTTTGCGTAAAAATCTAAACAAACCGCGTACTGCGAGAGGCTAGTGCTGGCGTGCGAACTGCGAAGATATGTCGATAAAATGAGCTTTTATATATACACATCGGCGCCATTCGGGGATAGGCATTATTCGATGTGGAGTAACTGAATTGTATCGTTTGATCCTATTTAGATAGTACCGAAGCGAAGTCGATCGAGTGGCAAAAGAACAAAGTGAATCATCGTGCATCGTTATCGTTGCGCGCGCGGAAGGGATCCGCCCGCCCCGGCTGCATCTCCGGGGACATTTCGACAAACACTACCGGGAGTGATTGTCAACACACGCACGAATATCGCGCCATTATTGTATTATCTCGTCCCGAGGCATCCCGCGAATCCCGCGGGACGTCGACAGATGAATGGACCCCTTTTAATGCGGAATAATATGACGTAATATATAATACGACGACGAGTCGGAATGGAAAATCGAGTAAAAGTCGCAGACGGAGAATTCAATAAGAAAAAGTCTGCAGAGTGGATCGGTAGAAAAATATGAATTTTAAAAGATTAATGAAATGGAGATCCTCGAACTCGTAGCGAGAGCGGAGGGCAAACAAACTGCCCCTCGGCGTGTGTTAAACACCGCGTTCTGACGTTTTATTCAAATTGCTTTATTTCTCCGACCTTCCGAACTCGGGTTTCGCCCGGACTACCCTCGCGAGGAGGTCATACCTTCGGGATAGTTGAACAACTCTAAGCGCAATAAATAAAGGGTTCGTGAATCACTGTAGCGATACGAATCGCGAGTTGAGCCCGAGCGCAGTTGTTGATACAACTGATTGAATTGCGTGTTTGCGCACGATATTTAAACTACGAATATGGATTTCATTTTAATGATATTTGCACTTTGCACTTAGCGCTAACCACTGTGCGGTAAACAAATCGTGACTTAAATCTGGAGTAAGCCTAGAGGGCTTTTTAGATTGACGCGCGTGTCCGATAGAGGGCGCTAAAACGAGTTATTATTAGAATACTGCGATAGTAATGAAATCGATGCCATAATTCTACTATACCTGGAAGGGTGCGCCGAGGGCGGTGCGTGGGGAGGCATCGGGATGCCGTTGAGGTCCGCCACCACCACCTCCTCCATAGGGGGCTGGTCCTTGTCCACTACTCTAGCAGAACCTGCGACGAAAGAGAAAGGATATGTAGGAACTCACCGTAGCGCGACTGAAGAAAACGTCGTCGTAACGTACCTTGCGATCTCTGCAAGCGGGTGGTGACCCCAGTGGAGACGCCGTGCACTAACTCGGGCTCGGGCGGAGGCCTGGGCCTCGCGTGCCTCCTGGGCCGAGGCTTTCTGAGTAGCTGCTTGTAGTTCTCGGCCTTCTTCGAAAGGTAGTAAAATCTGTGGGCACGAGCAAACGTTACCGATACGTGATATAATACGATGGCATCCTCTAACACAACCTCTGCGAGGAATGTGGCACGACGCGTACCTGACGCAGTCGCGAACGGTCTTCCTGGGCAGGAACGAGGCGATCTGCCCGAAGTTCTTGGGGTGTTGGAGGTACTTCTCTCGGAAGGCCTCCCTCTCGGCCGCCGTCCACACGTTCCTCAGTTGCAACTCCTTGTGCTCCGTCTCCATGTCTATGCAGCGCTCTACGTGAAGAATTATTGGCAAACGACTTTAGTAAATTCTATTTCAATCATTTTAGCCGTTTTGTTTCTAATGGTGTAAACTTTTGCGTACACTTTCGTTGCGAAGTTTAACTCGAACAGTTAATTCCATTGGAATTTTCGATCCCTAAGATTCCATATGTCTAAAATCACTGGGCCGTATGAGTGAATTCCAGTTTCACTCAATATTTCTATTATTAATTGTAAAAGAGTAACGTTCGGGTGTGCCTCACCCGATGTTAAGTTAGCGGTCTAAATTGTGTTTAAAGAGTATTCGCTCGGAGAGACTGACATGCGGAGAGAGTTTGATTACAGGTTTGTGTTAGAAGGGACGGAGGCATTCACCAAAGAACGTACAACAAACAACGAACCAGGGTGTGTACGTGGGCGCACGACATGGGACTAGTCATTAATTATGATAAAACAAAACTAATGCATATACATTCCTCGCGACTGTCCTATGACCTGGTCCCATGCGTGCGATCACACTCACATCAATGTCTCCATACGCAGAACGATAGCAGCGGCCAATGTAAGTGCCCTATTCTGGAATCTGTTGCCCAACATACCTACCTAGGCCTTAAAATAGACAACAGATTTACTTGGAAACCGCATGTCACGTTTGTTTGTGAAAAGTTAAGAGCAATATTGTCTAAATTAAGTCTGCTTAAGTCCAAACTAGAATATACGACTTTAAGGCTTATCTATAATGCGCTAACCGATTCAGTAATCGGGTATGGACTCAGCAGCTACGGCAGGACCTACAAGACCTACCTTAATAGTATTTACAACTTACAGATCAAAATATTAAAGACGATAGCACCGAGGGTCTATAAAAATTGCAATAGTAAACATGAGTTATTTGAAAAATGCAAAGTAATGCATATCTTCAACAAATTTAACTTTTTTTATTTATGCGAAGAAATAGGTCATAGCCAAGAATTAGAAGTTAAAAAAAGACCAGATAATTTAAGACCCCTCCATTATTTGCCTAGATATGTTCTGCCCCCATTTAACAATTGCCCTTGCTTCTGAACGAGTTAGATGAACACACGTACAGTAAACTAGTAAAAGATCCGGGAAGAAGCAAGACAATTCTTAGGCCGTTTTATGCTAGGTAGCTATAGACTTAATTTATATATTAGTTTATATTGTTTGCCTTTTTTGTATTGTTCATTTTTAAGTTAATTTTAGTTAAAATAAGTTAATATTGGTGTCTATATGACCAGAGTAGCAGATAAAAAACCGTTATAACGGTTTAAAAAAAATGTTTTTAAATTGTATTGTATTGTGTTGGTGTACACAATAAATAAAAATAAATAAAAAAAAAACGGCTCAGCAGTCATGTGGATCGACGATAATTCCCGTAGTACGTATTTAAGAGAACATTAAACTTCTTGTTCGTAATTGTAGCCGCCCCAGTGTGCACATTAATACAAATACTCACTGTTGACGTCCAGGTGGAGCGGTCGCGGCTCCTTAGGATCCCTGAGCAAGGGAGGCACGACCGTGAGCGACCTCATCTTCTTGTCTTCGTGCTCCTGCTCGTGCAGGCCGTCTGCGATCTCCTCGAGCTCCGCCTCCGATTTGACTCGAGCTCCGAGGCGGTTGAAGCGCTCCCTTTCTTCGCGCTGCTTCCTCAGCTCGGGGAAGACCTAAACGGACAGAACGGACAGACTTTACTGGCACGGGTTCCTCTATTTGACAAAACTAATCCTGGCTTCCAATTTTCATAACGAAATTGTACTGTTCTAGACGAATTTGAAAGAAATGTAAAGAAAGAGAAATTTTTCAGTACTTTTAAAGTTTCGGAAGGTTATAAACCGGCGTTCGCAGCGCTCCGTGCGGTTTGCTCAAACGAACCGAGCATCCCAATGATACATAGAATATAATTTCAATCTTGACCGTGACGTGACAACCGGTAGCGGCACGGAACGCTATGAATGCCGGTTGGAGTCCCGCCCGTGTCGTAAGTTATTAAATAATTCCTCACAAATAGCTTTCATTGTTACTCCTAAGAAATAGAAACTAAGCGTCGAGTTAAACATAAACTTTAAAAATAATGACTCGACTAGACGTCCTTCATCTTCAGAGTGAAGAAGGACTCACCTTTTCGAAGAACTCTCTATTCCTGGCATCCTTGGCTTTCCTCTTCTGCCCCTGTTCTATCCGCTCTACTCTTCTCATCCACTCTGCCGCTCGTCTACTGTACGCCTCGGTCAATGCGTCTTCTCTCTAGTTAACAAAATAGGAATATTTAAGATTAGAGTGAAAAGAGCCTTTTCAGGACTCTCCAAATCCATCCAAAATTCGAGTCCATTTGACCGATTTAACATATACGTTATATTATTTGCCAGTGACTGAAGCAATAATGAGTTACGAATTTTGTGCAGCTCTACAATGTGCAGATACGTACAAATATTTTGTTGTCGACTCGAGGTCGTACCTCTAATGTTCTAGCAGAGAATATTCCTTGCAAATTTTCCTTGGTATGAATCAAAAATTGTAAAAGCTCAGTTGGATAATTTAAAGTCCGGCATAATTATTTTTTGTCACGGATGGCAAATTATCGCCAAAAAAAAACACAAAGTTGTCGAACAATGTTTAGATTTTCAACCGAGGGCAACTGTTGGAACAATGAGTTACTACATTATACTGTATTTTTTATGACATATTATGACGGTGACGGTATAGCAGTAGCTTTATATGGTTATGATCACTATATAAATGGAGAACCTTGTACATTTTAGAATTATCCCAAACAGCGACAAGAGTATGAATAATGAAGAAAAACATTTTAGAAGCAAGGTGGTGCAAACTGAGACCCTAACGAGAAGTCTACTTACACTTCATCACGCTTTTGGCATGAGAATGCCTATGACCTGCAACTGGTTCTATTAATATGAAGAAACTGTATAATAGTGATTAGTTCTCTACAGGTGTTGCATGCACAAATGAAGATATTAAAAATCAAATGTTTAAAGTATGCTTACATACAAGTGTACATACCACATTATTATTATTGTTTGAAAAAACTAAATGAAATAATACATTTTCTGAACTTGAACTGAAGACGGTTTTAACCGCCGCATTTCACATTATTTCATTGTTAACTTAAGGAAAGAATCCATCGGAAAGACTTCGTCTACATTAGACAAATACACAATAAAAATCGAATTGAACGACATCCTCGGTTTAAGGCTGTTTTCTTCTTCTGTCAGATTTTACCGAATCGTTGTCTATTGTCAAATTATTGGACAGAATTTATAATATATTGCAAATAAATCACATTCTTGTTATGTTAATGTTGTTGTCTGTGATTTTATATATGATCTATGACAAGTTTTGTATCTTCTTACATATAAGGAAACTTGGATTAAAAATCAGTTTTCCGTTGCACATATATAAGTAATTTAATTCCAAAATCCCACAACTATAACAATTAATGTAGATGTTATGAAACTAGGAAGCACGGTGGTGTACGGCACTGTTTATGAACTGATTTATCAGGAAAGTTTTGTGTGCCGTGACTGATGTTTAGAAAAGTAAAATTTTATTTACGGATATTTAATTAAAACAATAAATATTTTTAACATATTCCACCGTTTAACTTTCTCAAAACTTATACCTAAAACTGACTACAGTACTAGGCGCTATATTAAGACAAAATAGTCTATGTTACATAGTTGGGGTATCTCATCTTTCATCGAGTGAAACATATAAGCTTGTCTCTTTCCCTCTAACAAGAGTGGTTACAAAGTTTTTGTAGGCACGGGCAAAATTAGGACGTGAAAAAAGGACCAACCTTTCGTTTTAATGCAAGATCGGAACGCTGCATCAATCATGCGCGACATAAGTGCAAGATCAGTCATTCCAGATATATTTTTAATCTATCTTTGCATTCCACTAAAACGGGTCTTACTTTCACTTTTAGTGCGTCATCGCGAGAAACCTTCTTGGCTATTGAAACTTATTCCATAACAAAATCCAGATTTTCATAAGAACGCGCTATTATCGGGAATTAGTGGTTCCAATTGAAAAATTAATTTGTGTTGGGTAGAGCGTTTATTAGGGAAGGTTCATTTTTTTGAGTTTCCGATGCGTACGCTGCGAAAACGGTTCTACATACCCAAAAAATATTTACGAAAGAGTGATTCCTCTAAAAATTGTTTTTAAATAATGACCGGGACACTACATGTCTGTCGTTTAAGATTAACTTGCAAGAGCGACGACTAATTGTTTAAACTTATAAAGATAAACGGAAGGTTTGAAAAATATCAAATTTGTACGCCCAAAATAATTTACGCGGACGAAGTCGGCGACACAGCTAGTTATTAGATAAATGTTAGACCCGGCGAAGGTCGAACCCACTACTTCTTGATCATTGGCCATACATTGCTACCACTACACCGTCGACCGTTACGACGATTACCCACGGAGCCACGCGGTGGCGAGACAGTTGAGAGGATGCCATTACCTTTTCAGCTTCCAGTTTGAGCGCTCTGAGATGTTCCGCGAGCCTCTTGCGAAAGGTCTTGTGCTTGCGAATGTTCTCGTGGTAGACTAGCGTGTCCTGCGGCTGGTTGTACAGGGGATACGTCACTTCCGGGCCGAGGTGCGCGAGCGCCGCGTGGCCGGCGGCCGCCTGCAATTCGAAGACACGATCGTCTCAAATGCGAGATTCACGATACAAACGAAAATGGGATACGTTATTGTTGGAGGTTATATATATTGATTAAAAAGGATACCCAGGATTAAATTTGAAAGTTGTCAAAAGAAACTAGTGTCGTAGAGAGATAGGAGAGTGTGAAGATTTATAGGTATATTTTATGTTGTGTACAACATTATATAGAACTAAAAGAGACAAGGGTAAGCAACAATTAAGGGGTGGTGTTTATTTATCAGTTATTATAAACAATTAAGGAGGTGATTTGAAATAGTATAATGGTTTAATTTTTGTTTTATTTACAGGTTTTTTTTTTTAATCACTTTGTCTCTTTTCTAGTTTATTGTATTGTTGTTTTTTTATTTAAAGGTCAGATTTTTATTTAGGGAAAGGGGTAGTCAAGTAGTTTTAAATATTTTAGTTGGAATTTGGTTTGAACAAGATAATTTTAAGGTGATGTAATATAATAATAAGTATTATGTTAAGCGGTCGAGAAGAGTTTAAGATACTGAAATGGGTGATATAATGAAGTTTTAATGTCTTATAATTTTAGGTTTGGTTGAAGGAGATACAGGTGCTGAAGTATATGGTAGTGTTTGAGATGATGTGGTTGCTGGTGTAGTAGAGGTTTGTGTATTGCGTAGTCATATATGTAGAGAGTCAAGTAGGAGTTATATGTGTATAGGTTCGAGGAGTTATATGTGTAGAGGTTCGAGTAGGAGTTATATGTGCAGAGGTTCAAGTAGGAGTTTTATATGTAGAGTTTGAGTAGGAGTTTTTTAGTAGTAGTAGGTGCTGTGTGTAGTAAGTTGAAAGTAAGATATGGTAGTTGTTTAATGTTATGGAATAGTTAAGTTTGAAAGCAGTTTGTTGGTGGGTTTAGTTAGGGATATCATTTTATTGTGGGGGAGTTTAGTTTTGGTATGTCAAATTAATGTATATGCAATGTTAAACATGTTCAAGTGTTGAGGGGGTGTGTCGGAGGTTATATATATTGATACTGGCTGGCAACACTTAAATTAAAAAAAAAGGTAAAGGTTTTAAAATGTTCTATTCTGTTTATTTGAATTCCCAGGATATTGTTTTATGACGCAAAACTCTTGACTTCTCTTCTCGACACGCCGGACGAAACACGTCGGGTTTTTTTTTATATTTATTATACAAAATTATATCAACAGTGCAAATAAATATATGTGATAGTTTTAAGTGGGTGTGTTTTAATAAATATATATAATTATCCCTGCTCCGCCCTCTCACGAGCCGAAGCTTCCACGAGGGAATATAGTAATATTCCAACAGTTATGAATAACAGTAAATCTCTTATTTGAAAAGTCACGGAGAGTTAAAATAATTCTCAAATGGCTTTAACTCATATATATCGCATTTAAATCGTTAAGTCGTAAGTGTTTTAATTGAATGTGTACTACTTTTAAGTCTTACCAATTTTCTGTTGTCTGCGTAGATGCATTGCGCGAGGCTCCTGTGCCTCGGAGGCGCCTCCTCGGGCTCGGCAGCCGCCGCGGGCTTCGAGGCGGACTGCTCCAACTCCTCCTGCTTCTTCTTCAGCTTGGCGAGTGTCGTCTCCGACAGCGCCATTTCTCGATCCACCTGAAAATTGTAACCGAAACCGTTAGCCACTACTATCGTCGTGTTCATTTCGTCATCATGTCGTAGGCCCTCGAGGAATAGTGGCGACAGTGACTTTTGTGACGTGTGACACGTCTCGATAACACGCCTCAGGCAAATTGATGCTGCCAGTGTTGCCAGATTCGTTCTCACCCCCGCCTGTTTGCGGCATCACTTAACTTAATTATTTATTCTAAAACGACATGAGATGAACAGGACCTTAGATATTTGCTGCAGTAGGTCATCCTTGGTGGTGCGAAAGTTCTGGTCCTCAATGGTAGGCTCCGAAGGCGGGTTCGGTGAGAGCACCTCCACCGTGTTATAAGAGTTCATAACGGGCTCCTGAGGAGAAACGGAGAGGTTAATCAGTCACGTCTCATACTCTCGCAGCTGGGAGCGAAAAGTAAACGAAGAAATGTATCTACTACCATAGGCCAAAAAACATAAGATTTGTTACTCACTCTTGTGTCGACCCTGAGGGGCTGGTGCGACAGCGGCTGCGGTCGCTCGGCCGAGAGGCGGATCTTCTTGAAGGGCGGCGGGTCGGCGGGGGGAGGGTGGTGCGCCGGCGGCACCGGAGGGGGGAGGTACGCCGACCCGAGCAAGGACATCCTCGCTCCGGACCGGTATTCGCCCACCGCACCGCCGCTGCGCCCGTAACTGGACATTAATAAACGCTGTCATTGGGGCCACACCATCGCACAAATGGCAATGCATGAGCTGGGCACATTGGGCCATTTTTAACTAGTCAAACGTCTATTTTATTTCCGAGATAAAGGTCCCACCTGTCCACAATCGAGACTGACAGTGGAAATAATTGCAAATCGAAACTTTTGGAAAGTGTAAAACTGAGTTTCTAGGCGAAAAATTTATTCCAAGTTTATCGTTGGTGTCAAAATCGTGCTTAATTAAATATTATTGTCTGTACTCATTACACGTAACTTTCTTTCAAATGACAAGTAAATTGAACACAGATTATAAAGACTACTTTAGAATACGTCGACCCGATTGTAATTCCAAGTTAGAGCGCACGCGTCGGTACGAAACAACATAAGCGTAGAAAAGGAAAAGGACTCGTCTAATTTGTCCACCGAAATAACGAGCGCACAAAAGCTAATTACGGCGTGGGTCGACGACCTCCCGTATCGCTATCTGGCGAGTGACGTCACCAAGATTTGTCGCACGGGTCCAGATCGGTCAAGTGAGTGGTCATAAATTAACAGTCCTTTATGATCCGGAAACTTAAGTAACATGAAGGGATGATAAAAAAATATTCTTTAAAGTAAAATTTTGCGCATACAAATAAAAAAAAAACTTATCAAAGTTTGTCTGATTTTCGTGACTTCATATTCTTCGTGAGTCGGGACAATATCAATGTCACTTGATCGAAACTTTACAGAACTATAAGAAATCCTAATAGCTCACTGGATATGGAAAAAGCGTTGAGTTACTGGGTTCATAGCCTGCAATAATAATATAGAAAAGAATCCCAGCGCGGCGTGGGGCGGACAACCGATGCGTCCGCTGGCAGGGCTGTCGAGCATCTCTGCAGTGGCGTCTACTCGTCGATTTAAATCGCGAGCTTAAATGTAGCTTAAAATTATATACTAACTGAAGAGAAGTAGTGTCCCAAAGAGTAAGACGTATAGAATACTATCTAACGAAGGGAACCGGGCTCATTCTACAGAAAGTTCACGTTAGGTGGCAACCTTGCGTTCGGAGAAATCGCTTCGTCAGTGGGTTGGGGCCGGGAAGGCCAAGGTTGCGACGGGCGGGGGCCGGATAACTGTACGGCGCGGCTGCTCTGTTTATTTTTTATCATTATTCAGCGAGCGCGACGCGGACACGTGCTCGCCGACGCGTCCCTACGCCCGCGGAGCGCGGCTATTCGTTTGCAATATACGGTGCGATGTCGTATTCTCCTTGCGGACTGAGACATTTGCTCCGTTCGGCAATGAGCGCCGACCGAAGAGTGTGAAAGAATCGCTATTGTATAGCTATGACCGTTCGCGCAGGCGAAGCCGAGGCGCATTACTAGCGAAGGAGCATTCTCGGAAACGTCGACTCGACGAAACGTGATCGCGATGTTGTTCGTGTCATGTTTCGACATTTACGTGACTGAAGGAATTCCTTTATGCGGCATTTCTACGTAGGACCACCTCATCGCACTTTTGATGAGGCTCTTTTTACTTTGATTAAATAAATGCCATCGGAAGCACAAAAGTAGATCGGATCTACTACTACCTGATTCGAACACATTAATGATAGAATTCGCCGAATTCCAGGAATAAAACAAACTTTTTTTGCCCCTCTGTTATATTAACGTTTAAACGAAGGAACTACCATGCCACTTAATAATAATATTTCTAGCTTAAAAAAATACACTTTCTACGTAACAACAGCGGAGAATCGTTCTTTGTAATGACAAGTTCATGTTATGTTAGAACTGAGAGAAGTCTTATATTTCTATTTTTTAGTGTTTCTGGAATTGACATAAAAGCAATGAAAAGCAGAGAATTGCCCAAGGGCCAGCTTCGATGCAATGAAAATTGTTGAGACCCGTTTGAATGAGCTACGCGCACCCCACGACATATCGCGTTCCAGTAATTAATGTCGACGATGCCCGTGCGGAGTGCCAAAAGTCTGGCCCCGCTAGCGGCGCCGCACTAACCGTTTTGCAGGGTCTGGCCGCGCGCCAGAACTTATGAAAGGATAACTTCATTTCTTCATCTGGCACTGGCGCGTACGGTAATTTATCAAATATCGGAAGCGCCTCTATTTGAATTCCTTTCGTATTAATTTTATTTGAAGCTATTTAATATACATGCGAAGGTACCTGTAGAGGGGACCGGAGCCATAGCCGGTCTGATGAAGCCGCAGCTGCGCGGGCGCATAGTTGGGGGCATAGGGGGCCGCGGGCCGCGCCTGCGCCACGCCCACCTGTTTGCCGCCGTACGCCAGTGCACCGTGCCCGTGCTCAGACTGCCCGGGCCTGGAAAGCAAGAGAAGGCCGATTAGTGCCTCCGAGTTTCGCTCCTTCTCCGTTTCGGGCCTAAGCGGCGAGCGCCATTCGCAAATGCGACGTCGCGCTTGACGGCTTGAATCACGCTATTGTTGCGGCCGACGCGAGTCGTCTCGACTAAGTAAGCGAAGCGATTCTCTCGGTTTATCGAAGGTTCGGTATCAATCACACGTCTACGCTGTATTGATTATAAATGCAAGAATTTCGGGGCCGTTCTGGGTCTCGACTCGGTACGCAACGCGAGTGCGTTTCTATCGGTCGAGTACATCGGTACGAGCTATGGAAATAGACACGATCAAACGTAAAATAAATAAACTCAATGGTAACGTAAACGCGGCGTGAACGACCGGACGAGGTGATTCGTTTTCAACTGAACAAGTTAACAATGTAACGTTGCGTCACCAGAATCTCATCCCGTTCAATCTAGAAGGCGTTCCAATGAAATGAAACGTAACATATATTCGGCATATAAAAAAGAAAAGTGCAACCGATCGAATCGAATACATGAACGATAAATGTAATGAAAATACAATATTAATGCGTGTAGACAAATAAAAAAAAAATAAAACTTCCTTACTTTCAATTGCAATCTGAGTCAAGCAAGCAGAGTCAACATCTGAAGGCGCCGTGTTTTTTAATAACATCCTTAACATACGAGTTATTAAACAACTCAAATTGACCAATACCTACACATTTCCGTCATACACACACATATATATTTTTGGCTGACCGGTGATAGGCAGTAAAACAAAATTAAAGTTTTATTTTTAATCTCTGTACTAAATTAATATGAAAAGTCATGTATAAAGTATATGTAAATCTTGGGTTTAATCAATAAGCCACAGCATTCATCGCGGATGTGGGAGAACCGGTATTTTTCGGGCACTCGAAAGTAGAATTGCGAAGCCAACTATACTTCATAAATAATAAGCTAATAGGCTAAATGAAAGAGAAATATCATTTCATAGATTTACGATCAGAGAAAGCATTTGTTTATTCCTTTACTTAACCGCAGTGCACTACTCAATCGATCAGTCTATGACCTATGTATACGCGAAAAGAAAGAGATTTTTGCAAATGGCGGCCAAGGTTGTTTGGCATCGAAGAACGCTCCTTTGTATCGGTGTGACATTAGACAATAATTATATCTGGCTAAATCTTGTAAAAATCGCGCACAAGATTGAAAGTTAGTTGAACTTTTAAACTCGATAAGATATGGAACCGATGACGACAGACTAGCGCAGACGCGTCTTCCCCGCTCCTCTGCTTCCCCGCACGACATGAATTCACGCAACGAGCATAACGATTTCGAATTAGGTTAGTCGTGGTACTCTTCTTCTAATTCCGAGTTCGATTATCGGTCGCGGAATGAGGGCACAGCATCGTGAGAAATCCGCCGCTGACTCCGCACAATCTTAATTTTGGAGGAAGAAATAATTGAATTAATACGCCATTCCTACATGAAGGAGTTTAAATCCCTTTGAATAAACCTTACACCGCCCTTGGCGTTTCTATCTATGGTTCCGTACCGTCTATCTCGGATCCAGCTGCAGCGCAGCGAACCGACATAGAGATCTCTTCGGCGCAACGAAGTGTGTTTTCGATCGGTCAGACTCGGCTCGGGGCCACTAATGCGTGAAACGTAAAACAAAGTCGTAAGCAAAAGGCGTCGAGATCGCGAGGACTCTCCGACATTGAAATGTATTTCATCGCTCGTAAGTCACGCCGTCCTCGAGCGAGCGGCGAGTGCGATTCGTTCGCGTGTCTCGAGCGCAATATTGTGTCCGATGCGAGTACGCGGACACGGCATCGAACCCGATTCCTCTCTTCGTAGAATATCGCTCGTTTCGTGCAAAGCGATAACTTTCAATAATATATGATAGACCTGTACCTGTACCTGCGTCGACCGCTTCAGATGGCCTCTTACATAAATAGATGGGTCGTCGACACCTAGCGGCCATTAATGAATATTAATCAAAAATGTATCATTAAACGAAGCGTTGTTACGCAAAGTAGTACCGCGTTCACTCATAGAATAGACTCGTACACACTGCATGCGACATCGATGAAAGAGCATCTTTATCGAAACAGCGTCAACTCTGGTTTGGACTTTTGTTTATCTACCTACCAAAACGATAACCATCGTATTGATAAGGGACGAAAATTGTAGCCATAGTTAATCGCTTTTGAAAATACCTTCTCTTTTGGACGGAATTATTTTTTTCTGCTTAAGTTTGGAAAGGCAAGGCAACACGACGATGTTGCGCCGCCGAAACGTCAGAGAGAGCTGCAGATGCGATGCGTCACACGACGGCCGAGCGGGTCATCGTGCCGCGGCCACTCCCCGCGCCACCCCGACAGCCGCGATTCGAGACTTTCCTTCGAGGGCTAGTTGCGGATTGCTTCTGTGGGATTTTCCTCCCTCAGCTTGCAGATAAGGTAAGATATATGGGCGAAGCTACATCTCGATTAGATAGTAATACCTACGCTCTCTAACGTTTCTTTCTCAAATTTGCAGTTTTATATATTTCCAGGACCAAGATCGCTTATTTCTAAGCGCGGGCGCACCACAAGATGGAAACCGGTCACCTCGAATGGATCATTTACTGTGCCTATTTAATATAGCCGATTCCCAATGACGATGCTCTACCTAAGCGTTTTTCAATGTTGATATCGCAACATATACTTACACGCGTACGTTACTTATAAGTACGTTCAATATAATAAGCTGACCTTTGACACGTGAAGTACTTCTATTGCAGGGTTGTAACGTTATGCCTACATCGGCACCGAAGGCGGACTTCGTTGTTTGGCAGATTAATATTATTCTTTCGATAGCGCCTTAACAAATAATTAGTAAAAATTCATTCGTTTCGACCAAATCTCATAACCAGCCTTGCAAATACTAATATATAAAGCTGAAGAGTTTGTTTGTTTGAACGCGCTAGCAGTTCCTGAGATTAGTTTTCTTTCAAAAAAGACTACTACTTTTTACTAATTTTTGTATTTATGTTTTAAAATTCATATTACAGTGAAATAGTTTTTAAATCCGGTTAAAATGTTTTATTGAGCAGTAAAAACATATGAACTGATGATATTGTTGTGTTTACTGACAACTACGCCCTTAAATCTTGGACAATTAATTTAATTTTGTATGAAATAAGAAACACTACTATACGATATATATATATATATATATATATATATCTTTATATTCTATTATATTCTTAATATATATATATATATATTGTTTTTAAAAGAAGCTCATTTTCATGTTTATGGGTACTAGAATCAAACCCTCGGTGACCGCATAATTATATAATATTGCAAGGATCATGACGAGTTCTAGCGCTACAAATCGCCTAACTCACGCACACAGACTCTTTTGCGTCTGTGTGAATAAAATTCGCTCCCAAATACCTAAACTTGACATCGCGCGAAAGGTGTCAACACTCTTAATAGTCGGAAGCTGTACGTGAACATCCCTGTATGAAAATATACGTTCTAGCAGCCCGTACTAGCTTCGTACCTTTTTAATTTTTTTTTTGTTTCATTACATTAGGTATACCTTATCTATGATTATTAAAACTATTTAATTTTAATATTATTACAACAGTTTACATATTATCTGATCCTACATAGTATTTTCATTAAAGCTTTATTTAATTATATAGGTTGTTATTTTCATTTTAGTTATAAATTGTTCAATGAAGGTGACGTCTCGTGCGCAGGACGACGGCGAATGATATCCGAACATTAAAAACCTTTCAAGACAATATGAAATGAGTATGAAAAACAAACTACATAATATTATGTTCTTCCGTAATTCCGTCAACCTCTAATATGTAAAAAGTTTCTTTAGTAGTCATTGACATGTTTCCGTAACTTGAGCTTTTCTACTTGGAAAGACTTTTTAATTCGCCATTTTTGAGTTGGTCTGTTTATGATATCAGTATTAGATTAGTGTTAGATTATGCTTAATGTTGCTGTGAATGGACAGAGCTAAAGAGCGTATAATGAAACCGGCCCTTAAAAATAGCGATTTTTAAAAAAGAAGTAATTTTGATTTGAATCGTAAAAATTACACGGTGGAAGTTGCACCTTAGCATTATTTTGAAACATTTTAGTCTAGTTTATTTAAGCCAGAGTAAAACTGTGATTTGCGTACAAATCAGTTTGTAGCAAACAGAGGAAATCGAGTTGAACTTCTACGGCTCTGGACACGTTCAGTTGCACTATACGCGCTTTCGCTTTATTTGAACGTTGAAACCGTAGCTACGATTTTCTCCGTAATATACCATTTCTGTACGGATACCTAATTAGAGTAAATGCGATGTTCTCAGACTCTGGCAGGTTTACTTGCAACGGTAAGTGAAATTTATTATTTCGAAAGACGAGTGGCCATAGTTCCACTGGACTCGAATACTGTGCTAGGGGGATGATAAAGATTTTTAAATGAAAATAAAACGACAAATTATGTAATGCAGTTTCACAAGTTCCGCGTTTCTCGTCACTCGTCAGGCTAGGCCTAAATCCAGACTGACTGAATCCTGACGTCCAGAATCAGTTACGGCTCAGAGTAAACAATTTCAAAGTAAAAACCCATGTTTCAGTCGAGCGATGTGTGAAGTCGGCGACATCGCCGTGACTCATTGCGACCGAATGCAGCCCGACTAGTTCGCACTCGCAGCGCTAGATACGAAAAATTAACAAACAATTACACAACCGATGACCTAAAGTCATCCGGGTCATCGCCCTCACACGTGTGACGATAAACTAGTGCATGTTCAATTGGGCCGAGATGGCTAAGAGTACACGAGGAGCCTCATCGAGACTTTTTTCACTGTTCAAATTCGCAATGGCAACTAGGTGACCGAGGGTTACTCAATCGTCCTAAGCGGCTCGACCGGTGCGCTAAGTCCGATCGCAGTCCCGGCCGAAACATCCTAATGTGCGAAAGCCGCAACAAACGTGAACGAAATCAGTATTGCACCTAAACTTCGCATATTGTTTTTCTTAAATCGATGAGCGACAGGGAGGCATTCGAAGTTGTAAACTATTAAAGACTTTGGATTCCAAAACTCAACTTTCGATCGGACGCATCTCGTGGTGCCCGTCTAATGCTTAATCTGGGACTTAAACTGTGACCGATAACCAAGTTTTGGCTGATCGACGATACTGGCAAAATATTCAAGGTTCTACACTCCATTGTTTGGTTGTTATTTTCGTTGTACAATCGCTGAACGACGACCAACTGAAGAGAGATTCATAATATGTAATATAAATGCGTTTTGAATTAGAAACGACAAGTACGCGATTGCCCCTATTAGCAAAGAAAAAACCGAAATCGTTTGACCTTGGAGAAAATGGAGCTTATTTTCTTTAAAGGCGGAACGATTGCGAGATATTGCATCAATGCAGTATGCGTATTAGAAAATGTATTCCTCACAATCGTCTGTCGCCGTTCAGAGAGAGTACGGGATGGGTGGTAAGAGATAATATGAGTCAACCTAGTGATAACATGCATGTGTAAGTTCTTTCACTACGTACAGCCGTCAATATTCTGAATAAATATGGCCCGACTGCAGTCGGCCACGTCACGGCTCTCGGGCAGCGAAGATACCTTGAAACGATGTCGATCAGGACCTCCCCCGAAGGCGCCGACCACACCATAATCCATTAAAGCACCACACAACACCGAATCCGCGCGGGCAGCACCATCACATGGATGACGTACGAGTTCCCGAATGATAACGCGACCAAACAAAAAACCAGGGGTCCTAAGAAGGTCGAATCTGTTTTTTTTTTCTCTGCGGCGAGCTGGCAACGTCGCTGGAAAGCCGGACGGACGCGCGTTCAGTCCGCGCACAGCTCATTGGCCGAGTGCGACGGCGGCCATCGCTGAGCGCCAGCCGCTCGCCCAATGACGTCGCTCCCCGCGCGCCCCGCCCACTCCCTTTTCGCCTGTTGAATGAACCGCACGCCAGTCGCGTACGACACCTTCACCAGCCGACACGCTCACAGAACCTAATGCAAGCTGAAGACTCACCCGCGATCAGCAGTGTTAAAGCCTTTATATGAGTAGGTACTACTAAAATTTACATCACATTGAGTAAAATAATCGAACGCGGTAGTGTCTTCCCAAATATTTTAGATCTTTCATTAAGTAGGTCCTATTAACTTAAAAAAATAGGGACGTTATAATAATATAAATTTAAGTGCATCAAAAAACATTTTAGAGAGCACGTTAGGAGCTCATCCAAAAGGAAACTTAGAGCAGATCTTTATAAGAAAAACTAAGTTAAGTATGATTATGGTGATGTGGAATGGGAATGTTGATTTATTGAGTCTGTTTTGATTGATTATTGATGAGTTTTTAGGTTGACACTTTTCTCGTTTTCACATTTTAGAAAATATACAATCGATTTGTGACTGGGCATTTATGTGCTGGCAATTATTAGTTGATAGACTAAAATCTTTCTATTACATAAATAATTATTTTAATACTTTCTAAATAGAAAAAATAACTACATCTGCATTCAAGCTTCTAAAACCAACACACTATCAGAGACACACCATTCACCTGCCCGTCTGATGTTTAGAGAAAACCCTGGTCTGTAGAGAGGTAGCGACCGTTTTCCAGGCCTCCTTTCAACAAGCTTCTCACAATAACAATAAAGGCAATGCGAGGGGCAAAAGAACGGTCGCCGCGTCCGCTAGTCCAATAAAAAAGAAGATCCTCTTCTCTCTTGGACTCGCTTGTGAATATCAAAATGTTCCTACCGCGGCAAATAAAATAATATTGAAATACGTATGTTGTAGGTGTTAACTAAAAAAACAGCTTCGCGCTTCCACCTGCTCCGCACCCTTCTTATCGTCCGTCAGATGACAATGAACTGGAACGTTCAGAATTGGTTTCCGCCCCAAATGACATAGATGACGAATACGTTGTCAGAATCGTATTCTGAGCCCAGAGAAATCCATCCACCGAACAGATTCATCGAGACAGAACGGGCGAGTACGAGGCGCGAGGTTGCCGCACCGCCGCGTGGAGTTAAAATTCGGGGGGGGGGGGGGCCAGTCTTAAAATAAAAACAATGTTTCTCTAATAAATTGCGCGACTGATAATAAGTGTGGCCAATGTAATCGGTCACGCCTCGACGGCCTCCGTTTGTAAAGCCGGAACAAACACTGTTTCAGAAAATGATGACCGCGATCCTGGAGTCGAAAGCCGCGACTAATTAGGCATGTACTTTGCAATTTTAATTGAACTTTTAAATTTAGTTTCCTACACAGTTCATTCTTTCAAATTCTGAATAATACTTAAGCCTTTTTAGACAAAATATAAACATTGTAACAACTTTGCAACACAAGATAACGAATATTAATAACTATATATATAATTAACCTCAAACATACACAACTCAAGCATTTGACTGATTTGTTTTCAAAGTGATAAAAGTAGACACCTGAAACTCGAAGGGTTCATTCCTTGTATGAGGAATGGTTTTCTGAAAATGAAGCTCGGTGAGGCGGCTTTGCGCGTCAACTACGATATTTATACTTCTGTACTAATATATAAAGCTGAAGGAAGAGTTTGAGCTGATGTTTGAACGCGCTAATCTCAGGAACTAGGGGTCGAATTGAACAATTCTAGTTGCAAAATTGTTTATTTCTATAGGCATAAACTAAACAATAAAACATAATTTATTTGTATCGTATAGGTGAACGGGGATTCCTTGTGAGCGCCAATAAATGCGATGCAACAGAACGACGAATGTAAGGATCGCGTAATCTAGATAAATGAGAAAATCATGAGCGAGCGTTTCATTACATTTTTTACAACATCGAGCCGTCATTGTGAACTAAACACGAAAAAGAATGAACACGTAAGACCCATGTACAATCCACAAATGTTTTTGTCAAGAAACTATGATAAAATGAATTGATTAAATTAATATACATTCACCTCCAAATATGTAAGTCATCGTCGGTGAGGGTTTTAATAGTAATTTAAATTGAAACTCGATTTTAAGATTGAAAAAGAAATTACGACACGAGCAGGATTCGAACTGGAATCCACGGCGTTCTGTGATGGTGCACTAACCAATTGAGCTACAGTTTCCAACAGGTGCGCGATAGGTCGAATTTTTTAACCTATCGCGGAATGTAATTTCAATCTTACTCTAGTTTTATAAGGTTGATTGTTTTGGTCTTATGTTTTGCAAACTTGATATTTTGTGAAAAAAATAATGAGTGTCCAAACGTTAAACTGTGTAATTAATTCAAGAAGGTAGCGCCTCGGTGGTCGACTGAGAACAGCGCTAAAATCGGACCGAATAGTTTAGCCGCCTTTAGGTCAGGGGCGCACCGAATATACTATTCACCGTTACGGAAATTCTATAAGGAGTGTAAAAGGTAAACGGTCAGCGAGATCTCAGATTAAGAAATAATGATAAACAAAACTTACCGTAATTTAATTTCTTCTAAAAGGTATCAGACTGAACTTGTGCTCAGCAATAGCAATGCTTGTCCTTTATCACAAAAAAGTAGATGGGAAACCCGCCACTGGACTGAATTGCAATCTCAGCCAAAAGAAGGCGACGTGGAAACGAATATTATAAAGCTTAGGCCATAGCAAAATAAAATACATCGCGCGCCGTGAGTCACGCATATGCTATTCGACTCGGCGTGGTCACGTAGCTTCTTGTGGGTGAGGAGCAAACTCTTACGAAAACACATGTTAACGGAGGTAGGAATTATGGGAAGACCGCGCTACCATCGCACATGGGTAAATATGATAATCGATAAGCCTGTCGATCTAATTGAATGTTGAAAAGGTAAAAATGTGACTCGAAAATTATTTTTCGGGTAGAGAAATAATTGAAAAAGTATTTCGCGGTCAACTTCGGATTACAAACTCATGGCAAATTTAGAAAAACATTGACAGAATAAGCTTGCTCGACCGTTACACCTAGTTTTATCTAAAAATTCAGTTCAAATCAAAACACTTTCAAATAGGTAACAGTTTCCAGGTAAAGAAATTACCTACGTACCAAGAGAGACTTTATGGTGGGCTAATACTTCGAAGGTTTTTCTGGTTTATTTTAAGGCAGTTCTGATTTCTGAATGAAGTCTCGAGCTCAACATTAAGTGCGGCAACGCCGAACGTCATAAGCGCGGCAACGTGGCGCCACACTGGGCATTGTCGGAGTGCGGCGCGGCAACGTCGCCTCTGATTCAGCAGTTACTTGATTACAATATCAAACCCTGTGTATGTGGCGAAGAAGCAATTTTCACAATAAGCAAACCGTACATTACAAATACACCGACTTTCCCTAAATCAGTAATTTTCATGAAAAATTATAGCTCAAATAAGTTTAAATGTTACTATAGATACTTTGCCTTTATATAATATTTAAAGTCAGTCGATATTTCGATTAATAGGTAATAAGAATAAGAATATGCGAATGTAATACTAAAAAGTCAAAAAAGGTCGACAGCGCATCCGGTTTAGGTGTTAGGTCGGCGGCATATGACTGGGGTATTTTACTTTAATTTATCGAGTGAATACGAACGCGACGCGTGTGTGTCGTCCTCTTCCATACATGGGTATACTTAGATATTTGAAACTGTAAAGAGTTCAATGTTGCTCATAATATTTGAAGCTTATGTAAGACTTATGAAAGCTCCCCAAAATGAGTGTACGTTCGAACTCTGTTAATGTAATTTAAACGAAATCTAGAAGCAGACTCATTTTCATGTTTCAATGTATCATTTTGCCCACTCAATCAGGTGGCAGCAAAGCAAATTGACTTATCTAGAAGAGCAGAAGCACCGCGGAATCGAAGGCGACGTGATTAGGTTCGACGGATGTGAATTATGAGTAGCACGGACAAGTCAGTCTAATAGTAGCCATGTAGGGGCATAGCTAATAATCCACAGGTCGTGGGTTTGCGCTTTGGAATCGCATCTTGTTTTGATACATTTCATCTTACAAGGGCCAAAAACCGATTTTAAATACGGGTCGGTATAAGGCTGAAATTGAAGGTGCGTGTATCAAACTGATTGAAAAGATTTGACGATGACGTGTAGAAACCGGTAGCTCAATTGGTTAGAGCTATAGATGCCGGATCGAGTCCTGCCCGTGTAGTATTAAAAAAAAATTGAAATCGATTTTTAATTTAAATAGTGCTAAGTATAATGTGCAACAACTTTTCAAATCAAGTAATTTCACGCTCGTCTGTTCTCCTTCACTGTTATAAAAATATACACAAAAATGGCAGATGGATAAAAACTTTTTTGTACGACTATGTACAAGTGGACCTCCAAAACAGAACAGATTTGACCTACGTATCTTTTCGGGTTTGTAGAGAAAGATTATGCCCGGTTTGGGGCAACGAACGAAAATACCGGTGTTGTTATAAGACGTACGTACTAGATATAAAAACATGTAAATATTACGTAATGGCTAAAAGTAATGTGGCACTTTTGAAATTAAAATACTTCTACTGCTCAACAAATGTGTCCAACATCAAAAAGAGTAATAATGTTATTCTGGCTCCGAATATAGATGTAACCTTGAATAGAGGAGTAGGGCACGCCACGCGCGCGCCCATCTGAGACAAACAAAAACGGAGTTCGCTCGTTCAGGTGACGGAAGCGCCGCGGCGATAGCGGCCTTATCTAAAAATCGCTACTAATTTAGCGATAAACAAACGAACAGCGACTTTGGCGAGCGACCGCGGCGTTGCCGCGAGGCGCCGCTCGTAGGTGCGGCAACCCCGCATAGCGGTACCGCCGGCCGCGGCGGCACAAGCCGAGCGAGGTTGCCGCTCCGTTCCACATCAATATCTTGTACCGCGCGATGTATTTTAGGATAACACACCTCACAACTTTAATATTATACAAATACAAATAATTCTCACTATAAAATTATCGGTGTAGTCTCGATGGCGGAACTAAAGCTGATCAAAACACCTACTTACCTAATACCTTCTCACGATAAAACCATTCCTATTTCTACTTCCTGAGTCGAAACAATCGCCACAGATGTTACACATTAGTCAGGTGTTAAGAGTCAATGTAATTTGCAAACGTACTTCTTAGTCGAAAAACACTGACTGGCTCGAGTGTGGGGCCGATGTGCCTATTTTGCGACTCGACTAACGAGTGGCCGCGACCAATCGCAACCTCCTGGATCGCAGCCGCGCGCGGCAGTTCGTCGCTCCAACTGAATGAGTGCGCGCGTTTTTTTCGTCGCATTGCGACCGATATCGCCAGTTACACATTTATAATTTTTTGATTGAAACGGGGAAAGTTACACTTGTCCGATAAAATACGATATAGAGAGCGACCGCATAAGTTCCGAAACCTATCGTAAATTTATTACGTTACCGTGTACGGTCTTCGCCTCCGTTTTAGCTCCTCCATGGGTCGCAAAATGTCCCGAAAAGACTTCGCCTTTAACCCGGTGCGCCTGATCGAGGAAGTGAAGAAGCGGCCGTGCCTGTACGACCAGTGGGCCCAGCCTCCCGACAAAGGGGAAAAGCTGCAACTGTGGAAGGAAGTGGGCGCAGCCTTGTTTCCAGATTGGACCACGTACGACCGCGCCACGGCTTACGACACGGGTACGACGGACGACTGCGGTTCCGCTCATTTCGACGGCGAATGTAACGGGCTCGCTTTTTTCTCCAGTGCTGCAGCTGCAGAAGAAGTGGCGGTCGCTGCGAGACGCGTACAACAGGGAACTGCGATCGCGAAAGTCGGGGGTCCGAGTGCATCGCAGAGTCTACGTGTACTTTAAGAAGCTGAAATTCCTCGGCGGATTCGATGGCGTCGTCAGCAGCGACTCAGAGTACGTGCCGGGGTAGACGCCGATGCGTCCTTAGCGTTTCCCTTAACTCTTTCTTACCGATACTTTAACACAAATTTCAGCGACGAAGACGACCGCACGCGCGCAGTCCCCGCAGAAGAAAAAGAAGAGGAGGGCGACGTAGAAGAAGACGACGTGAAAACTGAGTTATTCGAAGAAGTGTGGGTGAAGCCTAAGACGCGCAACCGGCGCTCTAAACGGCCGAGCTCAGCGTTGACCCCCGAGAGAGCGGCCGCGCCTTCGTTCTCGGGGGAGTCGGCGGACGAAGGGGACAGTGACAGACTGTTCCTCCTCTCGTTCCTTCCCGAGATTAAGCCACTCCCGCCGAACATCAAGATGTGGGTTAGGGCCCAGATCGCCAGCGTCATGGAGGAGGCGGTCGCGGCCCACATGAGCGACACGCAGCCTACCGCTTCCTTCGCCAGAAGACGACCGATCAAGAGTCGAGGGTCGACTCCGACCGGCCTTCACACCTGAACGTGTTCTCTTGTGGACTATATCCGTCGTATGCACCACGCAACTAAGTTAAACGTTGTGCGAGTTCCACTAGCCAAACGATGTCCAATTTAACATTACCCTGTGTGATACCCAAGGGAATGTTATACACTCGTATATATTTTTTGTAAAGGACAGACAAGCGTCGGGTGCGCTCGGTAGGTGAGCTACCCCATATCACACCCTGATATCTAAACATTCGGAAATTCAGGCTAAAACAGAAACGCGCTAAAACTATAACTTCAAAGGTCTTTGCTCATCTGTGGCTGCGTGACGTTTAAAGGGAGTAGTAATAACATAATGTTAAACGAAAAATAAACGGCTTTAATCAGTAAACGTAAAAGATTTGATTTTATGTGTGTGCTTGTAATGAATAAACCGAAAACCTATTTTTCGCTTTTTTTATGGTATATATAAAATTGCACCTATTTTCATTTTGGATACAATTTGAAATGCACGGGCCGAAACTGCGCGAATAATCTTCAAGGCTTTTTCCTTCGTGGACGGTTGTTTGGGACCCGGGCGGAATTTTCAACTATTGAATGTCTAGACGAAGTCCCAAAATGTTGCAGGAAAATTAGAATCAAATATTTACTAGCACCAGACCAGACCGATTTAATTACGTACAAAAAAGGCGACAAACGTATCTGAACTATCGATGATAGAATACAAATGTAGTACAAAATAAAAATATCATATTCTACAAAGAACTTCGTGATATTTTTATAGGTAGCCATTAGGTCGACATTGATACGACCTATATTACCACGTTATTCATATTCACGCTTCTGTTGAAATGGTTTTTAAAAATAAATTTAGATTCATTTGTGAATTGTTCAAATCGTATGTGCACCACCGCCGTAAAAGAGAAAAATAAACGCCTTCGCACGCATATAGTTGCTTTTATTAATCCTGCTCCAAATAAATAATCTTGTATTCTAAATTGTTTGAAAGATATTTAGAAGCTTTCAAATCGTCAGCAGGAAGTGGTAAGCCAGGATTTCGCGCGACAATTATTCTTTTTTGACCATTTCAATTGCAAAAACATAAATGTCCATTGTCCATCAGGTTGGGGCGAGACGCTATAACTAACTAACATGCATTTTGAAACCCTAAAACTTTTCATAACTTCATAACCACGTTGCCGGGTCAGCTAGTATTTTTAATCGACAAAAAAAATTGGCTTTCAATTCGATTTTTATATAGGTATTTATACTTTTATTGCAACTTTACCGTTTATGAACCGATTGATCAGTAGGTAAGCACGGGGGGACACGTTCTTTTTCCAGAAAATGGCATACCGCATAACTAGAGGACACGGGGAGTCAGTTCTGTAATAATGGCCCAGCTAGTTTCTCCACATACCAACTACGAGGAAACAGATGGCGCTAAGGTAGAAATGTCATGTGATTTTTTATAGAAAGTTATGTACACACTTCTCGTCACTCTTCATAACGTATGTTACACCTACCTAACCTCAGTTCAACGAATTACTTGATTTAATGAACATTTACTTGTTCCTCCCCGTTTTGCTTTACCAAAGGCTGTGCTGTATAACGTATTTTAATAAATACATTTTAAAACCCTACACAAAACTAAACAAAGTCACCTTTACTCAACCTCTCGCATCGAGTAACAACCGCTTCTAGTGTTGCAACATTATACCTACCTACATAGTTGAAACGTTTTTAAAAGCTGTCACCGATTTACAAAATTAGCAATGTATACATATATAGAATAACTGAAATCGTTTTTAATTCGTAACTTAATGCACCTGCGAACTTAATTACTTAAATCTATAGTGAGAAGGTATTTCAAATGATAGTCTGTTTTAAATTTAGATGTAAGTCGTCGTATTATCTAGCGAGACTTCGAAACTGCGGAAGGTCACAGCAGAAAAATCCACCATCAGCAAAGTGCAGAACTAGAAGTGTCGGAATACGCCGAACGGCAACAAGTCATAATACGAGAGAAGCAAAGCGGGGAAAGTTGCACCGCGCGGCAACCTCGCGATCGATACGGCTACAGAACTCGGAGACCCTCGCTGCTCAGTTCGTTTCGCCACAGCCAATTCTATTTTGACGAAGGAAGACAAACACACAGACGGACGGACGGACCACGAGAACGGCCCCTTCTATAAGATTCGAATTCGACCCAAACGTTGCCTCTAACAGAGTTAGATAGAACATCTATTGCGATAAATGCGTAAAAAGGTTTCATGTAAGGATACTTGCTTAAAATATGAATCCGTATTTCACAGATACTCTATAAATATAAAGTGCCCGGCATCTAAGGGACTACCTAACTACCCGTGCCGCAGCTGCACGGAGAGGACGTGGTTTCGTATCCTTACGCTGCGAAGACAAAACTATAAACTATTTACAATGTTTCGATACCTCGTAAACCCTTCGTCGAAATCGATTACTATTTACTTAATACATTCGAGAACTTCTTATGACTTCGTAGAAGTTCGTGACGTTGCACTGCTGACAGATTTTTTGATGATAGAGGCGGCCCAACGAGCCTTTCACATCAAGCTGGTCACTCGATAGAAGATGACGTGCCCTGTAACACCTCAACGTGATGCGCTGCCGATCTAATTAAGTTTTGGATATTCGGAATTCTCGGTTGTTAAATCCTTGTCACGGTTCCGTACCGCTTTATACACCGAGCGATAGCATGAATTTTAGAAGTTAGCGAAGCGGGAATGAGCTAGGGCGTTATTTATATTTAATAACAGCTGTATCAGCGACTTCGTCCGCGTTGGATAGTTCTTTTGGGCATGCAAATTCGTTTTTACAAACCCCTTAATTTTTATAAAGTTAAGCTGTTACCCACGACGTCGGTCGCGTCTCGTCCCGTCGTTGCAAGTTAATCTTAAAAGATAGACGTATAACGTCGGAGACGTTTTTTTAGATCATTCTCTCTATATGTAGAGTAGTATCTTTTTGGGTATCTTGAACCGTTGCTGCAACGTACGCATCGGAAACCCACAGAGATGAAAATTCTCCTTCCTCGATTAATGTTCTAACTAACACAAAAACAATTTTTAATTTGAACCAGTAGTTCTTGAGATTCGCGCGTTGAAACAAACAAACTCTTCAGCTTTATACATTAGTATAGATTGCTGCTATTAGGTTCGAGGGTGACTGCTAAAGAAGAAACTAAGAAGAGTTCAAGAGTTATTTTATTCATATGGTGTATTTTATTACTTCTGGGATTTCGAGTGCTCTGTTTTGTGGGCATAATTGTTTTTATAATTAATTTAAATCATGCTTAATTCACATTTAGTTTAGCTTTGATTACGTCTGACTGCGTTTAGTTTTGATTGCTGGCTTTAGATCTCTATCCACTAATTTGAAAGAAATTATCGTTAAAACGCGTTGTGTTACGACGACAACTGTGCAATCCAATTAATATTTATTGCGATGACCTCTCTCTCGCACCTTTCCAACGGATTCCTCGTATACGTAGTACGCTAAAAAGTCAATACCGACAAATATAGTTCTTATGAAAAATAGAACTTGATAGTTGAGTCAAATTGTTGTTGAAATAAATTATTGTAAAAAATATTGGAGGTTCGTGCGAGCCCGCGCGGCAACGTCGCGGCGGAGTGGCGGATCGATAGCCGAGGCGGGTCGCTCGTATTTCTGTGTACGGCGTCGGAAAAAATAACCCAGCATACACTTGGCGAAGTATATCGAGGCTTCTGTGAACCGCGCAGTAGGAAAAGAAGGAAGTGTGCACCGATCTTGACTGAGTGACAAAATGAGGAAAAGTTTACGTTATATCGGTACGGGACCGTTACTGCCGTTTCGTATTTAACGAATGCTTAAAAGGGCTTTCGATCGCAAACTTAATACAGTTGACAGCGGAAAAGAAATTCCGCGATCAACTTATCCGTATTAAAACGTACTAAGTACCTTCTCGTCACATGCTCTAGCACTTCAAAAATCTCACATAGTGAAAGCTAGCGAATAATTTGGATTATCTGTCGCGACTGGCAAAAATGGTTAACAGAGGCTTACTAAAATTCAAAGATAGGAGTATAAAAAGAGACAAAAAGTTAGGAGAGCACTGTACTTACACTCTAACCTGGCCTATTTAGAAATCATTTTACAGAACGAGGTTCAAACTACCATAGGTAGACCTGGTCTAACTACGGTAGTAACTTTAAACTTTCCCACTCTCGGGTTCGATGCCAAGTGTCAAAATGGAATTTATTCTTTTAAGTCTGCCTTGTGGGATTTCATTAAATATGCAATCTGTTTTGATTAGATATGGAAAATATTGAAATAAAAGAGATATTACAAAAGTCACGCACACAGTTTAGTCGTATGAAATCAAAAGTTTTGCAGGAATTTAGTAGATCTATTTATTGTAAGAACCTATAATAAACGGAAAGATTTCTGTCTCAGAAAGTGCAAATTATCCGTGCGTTACGCACTGAACTAACCGGGCTGGACATAACTTACTTTTCAGATCCAGAGCGATTAGCATCAATAAACATGGAGGTATTGTACATTGTTATTGTTAACACCAATCCGAAACGGGAATTTCCACCTTATAACCAATCTTTGGTATTCTTCACTTACATTTAGTATAATATTTTACTAGTTATACGATGTCCATGGATATATTAGAAGACGGTTCATAGAAAGACCGACCTTTAGTAGGAAGTGGAATACATAAGTTTTGAGTGCAGTATAATAAGATTGAAGGGTATATATAATCTTATTTCAAATGGATGTTCATTAGTGTAGCCGCGAGGTTAATTTATGCAAACCTCAGAAAAACTTGAATAAGTGAAGTTCATTTTACAAAATTTTCAGTACGTCCAACAGTAACGTCCAAATCAAATACTTAAAACAACATTTTACCATTGGAATACTCATTTCGTGGCCAATTGACTTTAACTTTTAATCTTCTCAATAAAATCTCAAGACTTTTAATTTTCATTGATTAATATATATTTCAGGTGCTTGGTTATGCTTGGTTATACTTGGGGGACGAGGCGTGTAACAAGTCCAGCAGTATAGACAGGTTAAACATTTGATATTATTGTAATTAGGCTTATTGAGGGGAGTTGCTATAGAGTGTGGGAATAATTGTAATAACTAAATTGTCATGCCAGTAACAAGTGTTACTTTGAGACCCAAATAAATAATAAAGATGGAAATATTGGCATCGTGTTTTTTTATTTTATCCAACAATCATAACCCTGTTTTTTCTTCGCATTTTAGGTGACCGCAAATTCGCCTAATTAAATCGACAACTTCTTGCTAAATTAATAAAAATTAAATAAACGGACAGATTATGTTTAGCAAATTCAACGACAATAGAAGGTAGAAGCCCGCTCATGCACGATCGCTGAAAAGCGTCACAAACGTCGTATTAAATAATAGTGACATAAAAAATGACAAAATCCGTCTTAAGTGATTTTAAATATTGAGGTCGTTTGATCTACATATAACCGATGTGCCTTTTCCCGTTGTCATCTGTGGCAACTTCACTCTATGAAGGGAATTTAAAAATCGAAAATAAATTGAAAAAATTTTCGACTCGGGCGGGACTTGAACCGGCATCGTCAGCGTTCCGTGCCGTTGCTCTAATAATTTTTTCAATTTATTTTCGATTTTTAAATTATATAGTGCCTTCATGTGCCTTGTGTGTGTCTTTCCCGTTCTTTCTTATGGATGTCAAACATGGGCACTATCTCAGGAAATGACACACAAATTAACTACATGCCAACATGCCATGGAAAGAAGCATGCTCGATATCACAAGATCAGACAGACAAAAGAATAAAGTAATTAGAAGTAAGACGAAAGTAACAGACTAGTAACTAAAATTAGGCGATTGAAATGGAGATGGGCTGGGCACACAATCAGAGGAAAAGAGAAATGAAGTAAGAAAGTAACAGAATGGTATCTCAGGGAAGGGAAAAGGAAAAGAGGAAGACCTCGGAAAAGATGGGAAGATGACATTAGGAAAGTGGCCGGAGTCACGTGGAATAGAGTAGCCCTAGATAGAAAGGAGCGGAAAAGGTTGGAGGAGGCCTTTGCCGATCGGCACACGGATCTATTATAAAAATAGAATAGATAGAAAACTATTACAAAATAAACATTGTAAATATAAGTAAGAAACCTTTTAAAATTGTAAATTCCAAAGCGTAGTATTCGTAATAAAAGGCTTTTTATTTTATTTTATTATCTGTGCTGATTGTTGAACAAATGTCCTAGTTTAGGGCTTTAACCTGGACTGCGTAGTCCTGTTTTTTTTTTCTTTTTTGTAAGGCCGATAAGGTTGAGCTTAAGGATTTTTAATTTAAATCGTCTCTTTGAAATGATAACTTCTTACGTGAAGGTAGACAGCTTCGTTGCGGCCTGTTTTTGAAACTCAAATGTTGAAGAACCACGTAGTTATTTACATCGGTCGAACTAAATGCAACTCCGATAGCAAACTACGAAAAAATTGATAATTATCTTTCTTGCAGACCAAATTTATTTAAAACGCGAAAATATTTCAAAGAGTAGTCCAGCTGACGATTTTTCGACACATTTGTTGGTGTCTATTATGTTTTTCTTCACACGGACAAAAGCGACACTAACATTCATGACTCATTAGATTCCAGGTCCATTTAAACTTAGTTGACATACTTTTACTTGGCAGGAATTTAAGTGTTAAAGTGACTTTATAGAAGTGAAGACTCCCTCTTAATATGTACATACACCATTTTGGAAATGACGATTATCCTATCGATGACATTCGCACTATCTTGGGGAAAAATTTCCTTACTCCCTCAATACGGTGTTCGTTTCTGTGGAAATATGATTTGCCTCAGCCGTCGCGGTGGAAAACACCTCAGTGCTCCTCGCCGCTTTCGTAGACGGAGCGGCAACCTCGCCCTATGTATGTACTGAAGGACGACAACGCCGCCCGCCGTCTCGCGTGATACAGTTTCGTGATCAGCTGTATGGCGGCTCACGCTTTGCGTATTAATGCGGGTTGATATATTTAGTTTTTACCCTTTGTTACGATTCGAGATTGAGACGAGACGTTACGTAACAAGCTTTTATAACAAACGTTGTTATAATAATTGCCAATTGGAATTAACCATAAGATGGCACAATTCATTATGACCGACAAAAACGAATCTAGCGGTTTCCGTTAGCGTCGGCAGTAAGTTGAAAAGCGGTGAACGATTCGGAAATATTTAAATTTACTAATATATAAAGCTGAAACGTTTGTTTGTTTGTTAGTTTGAACGCGCTCATCTCAGGAACTACTTCGAATTGAAAAAATATTTTTGTGTTGGTTAGAACATTTCTCAAAGAAAGCTATAATAGGCTATGAAATATTGCGCTGCGACAAATAGGAATGACGAAACAGCGATAAATTTGAAAAAAACGGGAAAAAGTACTTTATTTGTGGGTTTTAATTGCGAAAACGGTTCAAGAATCCCAAAAAGTGTATTGAAAGAGATCCAAGTTTCTTTAACTTTTAATTTTTTTTAACTTCTTCTTTTGCCTTACCTATAGTTACCAACTAGTTCTGGGAGTTTTTCGAGCCCCCGTTCATCCCCCTTCCTTCACATCCAACTCCCTCCCCCCCTTACCCCCCTTAGCGTAGATTATCCTATTTCCTTTTCCCGATTCCTTCCTAAACCCTTCCTTGTCAGCGACTTTGTATTGTCCTTCCCCCCACATCTTCATTAGCCTTTTTTAATTCTCCTCACCCTTCACAACCAAAACCTCCGAGTACTTTCCATTCTGCTCCTCCTTTATCCCACCCCACAAATAATTCTTAAGGACCGCCATTTCGCCAAATACCAATCACGAAGCACTAGCAATTCTTTACTTTGACGTTAGAATCCTCCATCTTTAGTCTCCCCGTACACGGCTGCTGCAAAGCATCCAAACGCGGGCCGAAGTTAAAAATCATTTTCAAATAAGTTTAACTAATATATCGCGTTTTAAACCGTTAAAGTGTTTTATTTAAAAGAGAGATTCCACTTTAAATATTTACGACACTATTATGTCTTCTCTCTTTGCAAAAAGGACGAAACGCCATTGACCTCGTGGGCAATAGCTTAAATCTAGACGGATGAAGGGGAGATTTGCAAAAACGAATTTTGATGCCCAAAATAAGTATTCTAAGCGGGCAAAGTCGCTAAGACAGCTAGTATCTTATACAGCCCAATAACTAATCTAGCTTAGATCGGCCCTTTTCACACCGTCTAGACGGGTCAGTGTATTTGTAGATCTAGCCCACACATCTCCACTTTTAGATTTATTTAGTATCGAGAATTTTATACAACGCCATTCCAAATACATTTTTAATGTTCATATTAGAACAGGCGATTCCGCTGACACAATTCTGTACGACGGCCGAGTCTTGGCGAGATGTTCTTGAAAGTCCCTCGTACGCGAAGAACAGAACGGACCGTCCAGTGAACAACCGACGACGCCAATTACCATAAGACAATACAACATGTCGCGAAGGCGTCACAAAAGAATTTACGCGGAACGCGCGAAGATAAAAGGTGCGTCGACCGCGCATTTGCCGCGGCCACTATCGAGACGCCACAAGGTCACTCGCGTTAGGCGAGGCGCGCGGCTCCTCCCGGGTGAAATCGATTCGAAAGATTTTTACCTCGCAACTTTTAATGGTCCTATATCTAGTAAAAATGTCAAAGGAATGATTCGCCTTTACCTGTGCATCGGCTGAGTCCGTGAATACTGCGCCATGACACCGCGGCCGGCATGGCTAGCGGATCGCGCGCATTCCGCCGCTAGCTAGCCATCGCGACACACACTCTCACAACACTGCACGCTCACACACACCGCGATCACCTGGAACAAGAGACACCGATTAGGCGCCGTGGGCTTTTCGTGGCCCGCGAGGAGCGGCGAAGTTTGACGTCGCTCGGCGGCTTCGATTAAAACGAGCGTCGCCCGACGCCGGTCGCATCGGCCTAATACTCCCTAATTGGATATGCTCAGCGTCGTCGAGGAAGCCCCGAGCGTATTGAATCACTATAACACATTGTAACGCTGCCGCCGAGTGGAACCGAGCTCGTTTGCGAATTCTACTTCGGGACGAGAATCACTTCAAAACGCCTGTTGGGAATCGGTAAGATTAGACAAAATTCCGTCCGGGCCATTGCACCGAGAGAGACCTATATTAACATATTTACAAGTCGGAGCCTTATACCTTATGAAAGAGTAAGCATATATTATAGAGGCCCACCTATTATTTCAATATTAAGTCGATAGATTAATACGTATATACCTTTAAAATTATAAATGGAGCTGTAGATGGCGAAAGCGTTACACGAAGGACCTTAAATACTATTGCAGTCAATTAAAGTTTAATAATATTTTTTTGGTCGAGAGAAGCATTAGTATTAGCGACGACGGTTCTCTCGGCACAGTTAGTGCGTGCTTCTTTCACGTGTCTCTTATGTGAGTCTAGTCGCGGAAGACCTAACGAATGATGCTGAGCTGGAGAGAGCAAGGAGGGCTAACGTGTCGTGCTCCGTTGTGCGTCCAGCTCCGAACCGAGCTGGGCACAGCACCAAAAGCATTCTATAGACAATAGTGATTGTATCTCTGCTGCACGTAAACTACGACACGCCATGCGAGTATCGCGGTGGTCTATTTTGGGTTTAATTTTCTAATTGCAGTCGCTGACATACACTCGTAATTATACATAACACATATCTTATATACTGCCTGTAGTAAAACACTTCAACGGTTTAAAACGCGATATATATTAGTTAAGCGTATTTGAAAATTATTTTTAACCACAGTCCGATGTCGATGATGGAGGGAGGACGTGCAGGACGGCCTCAAATTATCAAACACAATAAAAACTCTAGATTCCAATAAACAGCATAGCGGCAAACGTGAAGACACCGTTAGTCAGTTCTGCATAGACCCGGCCAGTTTCGCCAAATACCAACTTCGACGGAACAGATGGCGCTAGCCCACGCTAGCGTAGCAGTCCCCACGTTTCCAGCATGTCGTGACCACGGTTGCTGCCATCCATCCGACACGTCGGGCCGAAGTTAAAAATAATTTTTAAACTAGTGTAACTAATATATATCGCGTTTTTAACCGTTAAAGTGTTTTATATATCTTAAATTTCTACTATCTATACTAATATATAAAGCTGAAGAGTTTGTTTGAACGCTAATCTCAGGAACTACAAGTGAATTGAAAAATTCCTTGAGGAAGGCTACAGACTATAAAACATCGCGCTGTAACGAATAGACGCAAAAATTCAGCGGGAAATGTAAACAAAACTTGTCACATTTTTCATCTCTGTGGGTTACCGAGACGTATGCTGCAAAAACGGTACAAGATACCCAAAAAATAAGTAGAAAATAATGATTTCTCTTTAAATGATCTAAAAACAAGTCCGCGACGCTATATGTCTACGATATATATCTTTTAAAATTACTTACAAGAACGACGGGAAGTAACGCGATCGACGTCATGGCTAACAGCTAAGTTTATATAGATTTGCGGGGTTTGCAAAAACTAATTTTGATGCCCAAACTAATTTCAACTTGCGAATATTCCAAGTTTTTAAGATATTCATTTTCGAAAACTTAATTAACATATGCGCGATATACGAAATTAATAGTATTTTAGACTAGGTGGTATGCTCGCGACTTCGTCCGCACGTTGCGTCCCTTCCTGTCGTTCTTGCGGGATAATCTTAAAAGATAAACATAAACATAGCGTCGCGGACCTATTTTTAGGTCATTTAAAGAGGAATCATTCTTTTCTACTTATTTTTTGGGTATCTTGTACCGTTTTTGCAGCGTACGTCTTGGTAACCCACTATGGTGAATAATTTTCGAAATTTTTGTCACATTTGCCGCTGAATCTTCGCTCTTATTAGTCACACGATGTTTTATAGCCTTCCTCGATAAATGTTCTAACCGACACAAAAATAATTTTTCAATTCGAACCCGTAGTTCCTGAGATAAGCGCGTTCAAACAAACTAACAAACTCTTCGCTTTATATATTAGTATAGATTAGGATTCACATTTGACATCATTATTAGTTACGTTGATCGCCCCACTTAGAATTCAAATGTCTCAAAGTGAACATAAAAGAAATCAAGAACTATGACTAACACATGAGCGCTGAGAACGAAGAAAATTTCATCAAGTTCAGTCAAAAAAAACTATGAAGAATCGACACACACCCCTCACCCTCGACCCCCTCCACCATCAAAATCCAATGTATGCAAAGTTGAGCCAACTAAAATATTACAAAAGTTAACTCAACCTAGCGCATAATTAATAAGATTCATGTCAATAAAGTAATAAACTTCTATGTCATGGTAGAATTCATGGAGTGGGTTTTGAAGGCCGGTTTAGATATTAAGTATATATCTAAACCAATTTCGTTCGCATATTAATACGGGGTTATTAAACGGTTTTATTGATAAACATTTTTTCTACATTTCCTGACAGTAGGCTGTAGACAGTAGCTACAGGTACTTCGAAATGTGGTAATACAGTGTCTAGAGCGATCGAAAGTTCGAAGATCTCATTCGTGAGCAAAATAAAGATGTTAGTACTATTAATTAATTAAATAGTGCATTTTACTTTACAATTTCATTAAACCTAATTCACTGCAAAATTATGTTTTTACTTGACTCCTGAGACTCGATTAATACGATACAAGTTTGTAAGGGCCGATTTAGTATAAACACATAGACGTATAGACATATAGACGTTTTACGAATAAGTTGCTTTTCATCAACGTTATATAAGTAATATATTGTTTGACAACTTCGAAATACGTATTATGTATCCGCGGCTTTTTTAGTAACAGCCTGCTTTAACAGAATGCTTTGCAGCAAGTCACCAACCGTGGTTACAGCTCTGGCGTCTGGGACACGTGGCCGCGTATTTAAACCGTTGAAAGTGTTTTCATTAAATATCTCATTGTTTTAGTTAAGTTTTACATCTACCTTCAGAGATTGTAGCGTTTTATGAGGTTTACGTTTCAACCTTCGCAACGTAACTTATACGATCCAAGTAGCTATATCGACTCGGCGAGAGGAAATGTCCTTGGAAGCCAAAGGCAGTTAGTACAACGTTGGCCTAACCGCTCCCGAGTGTCGGTCGGTGTCAATTGCAGTTATTTTAGCCACCAAAGAGCATCGAGATAAAAATAAAACGACCACATCACGATTAGCTTGTCATCTTACATAACTTCGGCACGTGCATCCGACGACCCTGGTCACAAAATCGGAACAAATCTACTAACTTAACACCGCTGTCACCTTTTTACGCAGTTAACTATTTCACCGTGATGACGAAATACGACGATTATTGTCAAAGTCAAAGAAACACTTTCTAGGATGTGCGGCCATTAGAAAACATTTTTCCCGACTGCTACTCCTCGGTGGTATCGTGTTAAACTTACCTTTAGAGACAAAAACGAAGAAGAGGCTTCCACGAAACGGGACTTCGTCACGATTCTCACACGCGGACGTAATTATCACTTATCCAGCACAAAACCGAGTAAAAGGCAAAATTTTAACGACACATTCGTAGGTTAGCACGCTTTACACAGTACTTTATACGTTTCAGGATTTACAAAAGTCCATTGAACCGTTTCCGATGAAATTTACGTCTAGCAAAATTATAAGTACGGAGTGGCAACGGTGTATAACTCGTTTTGCGAAGCGGCCGCCAGGCGGCGCGTCGGTCGGAAGAGGGGCGGAGCCGAGCCGAGGGGGACGCGGGCGAGCGAGCGGGACGGAGACACATTCCACGTAATCGTCGTCCGTAGGAAACGTTTTATACCACGGCGTATTTATGGGACAAATTGTATGTGAATCGACTGTTAGCGATAGTCAGGGCATAGGGCTAAACGGCGGACAGAGAGCGGTGAGTTGGTGACCTTTTCGCGGTATCGCGTCACCGCGGGAGGCGATAACACGAGGTCGTCGGTCGCGCGGCGTTGCCGGCTCGGCACCACGTTAGTTCCACGCATTACAAACGACCGAATCCCAGTACCTAGCACCGACCTGGTTAAACAAATAATAATACGAAACCCACACCTTAGCAACATGGACATCATAATAGTGCTTTGTATGCTATAAATTATGTTCCAAGTCCAGCCGAGACCATTCCACTATTTCCATCGGTAGGCTTATTAAGTAGGTAGGAACCTACGTACCTACTTTTTGATAAATTCTTATAAATTCGACCATGAGGTTAGCGTCAAGTTTGAATGTATAGATTGTCGTGTCGTGGAAGACGTGCCCATGCATTATCTGAATGTGTAAATACCTACCTATATTAGTTTTCAGAGTGTTGGGTGATATAGGTAGTAGTATCGCCTTTCCATGTTCGAGGGAAGCTAGGATACTACCTACTACACATTATTGTTTTAAATTAAATTTGTTATGTTCAAGTTCTACCTATTTAAGGTCTTTTAATAAAGTTATAAAAAAAGATATGACATCTACTTACCTTCTTCCAACTAAGAACGATTCAAATGAAGTCAGTACGTAGGTAGGTATGCAATTAATATTAAAGTGAATTGCTCTTGTGCTCCTGTAAACTTAAAGGCTGCCGAATGAAGACCCCTCTCTCAAGAATCTCTCGAGCTACATTTAATAGTAGGTACTAAATATTATTAGCCGTGGAAAGAGGAAAAACTTTGTTTAATTTTTTAAAATACGATTTCGG